TTGAGATCCAGAGGACCCATAGATGATTAAGGCATGTTTGCCATTTGGGGCTGAAACAGAAAAATTGTGAATTCCCATGAAATTGCGAACATCTGTCCACGTATGCTTATTTGACACGGATATTATACCACTTACCAACATCTTCCAAAGAGCTTTTTGACCAGTGTTATTGGCACCCAGACGCTCGTACCGGGAGTCGTTGGGTTTGAGTGCCGGTCTAGCAACCCTGAGGTGGCAAACAGACTAAATTGAAATGAAATTTTGTTCTATTTTAGAAGAAAATGCCAGAGGTCAACCGCCAACACGCTGATCTTTAACATTGTAGAATATTCTATTTCTATTCCATATTCTCTAAAACACGAGAGCCTATCACAAGCTTTTCATCTCGCCACTCCAAAGGTTTCGAGGAAATACGACTTCTTTAATTTCCAAATTTTAAAGCTTGAGAAGAAAGCCTTTTGAAATCTTGTGGGGGTTGAAGTGACAGCTGCAACATAAATTGGACGCAGACTTGGAACCTCCAGCAGCTCGAACGAATATTCGGTGGGCAATATATTTTCCATGAAGGTTCGCGTGTGACAGTACATGTACATTAAATTCCTTTTCCAATATTTTTGACAAAGAAAACACAATATATTTTGTCGAATAATTTGAAAGACCACATTCACGATTAAACCTTTCGTTTCACAAGCGTGACGTCAATTCACACGTTTCCGAGAATGGCCAGAAGAAATACTACCTCAGCGGCTATGGTAACTTAACGATTTGTTTTTGCAGTAAGATAAGAAAGTTCCCTGAAAACAAAAGCCGTAATTCACATGCTCAAATCTCACGGGGGTGTGGAACAGGCTGCCAAATGGCCACATCCACTAGGAACGAGGTCCCCTGAAACGTCGCTGGATTCAGACTAGAAGCCTCGACCGACACTGGGATGAAATGGGTCCGTGGCACCATCACGATAGCGGCAAGTTGATCCCCGAAGGCCGGGCCTAGAAACCGTCGAGTCGGCGGGATAAGGCTGGGGAAAACCAGTTCACGTCTCGTGAACTTTGCCTGTGAATGGAGCGCAAGACCCCGGATACGACGGATAACAAGTCAACAACAGAACCACAGCACCTTTTCAAAACGCAATAACTTTTCCAGAGAAATAATAAAGACGAAATTAGAATGAGATTAAGATCATTTCAATAAATGCAAAAACAGTGACTAACTCGAATTCAAAAATCTTGATTTTTAATAAAAGCAATAAATAGTGACTGAATCGAATTTGAAGATTTTATTTTTCAAGTTAGGCCTAAAGGCTAGTTTTACAATACCGTCCGTGAGACACATTTTGGGTATAAATCTTCGTCATCAAACGAAATTCCACAGGAAAAACACCCATACATGGATACATGGAGTCTCATTGGGTACAGAGAGGGGAGTTTTAAAAATGAAGACAGAGGAAACGAAAAAGCAAATCCAACACTACGGTCAACTTTCGAACACCAAAATTCTGTCATCGCCTCGTTTCAATTTATATCCGGTGCATGCCGTGTCTTTCCGGTGGACTTCTGACATGTGGTGCAGTATTTAACTCTTGGTCCGTCGGTTCCAATTGTCTTTCACAAAACCACGAACATAACGCAGCGATTTAACTCATTTTTATGATTGATTTAAGACCCGCTCGTTAAGTTTTACGCCGCACGATACACTGCTCGAAGCTTATCGGCTGTACCGCGAGGCGTGAATGTGTCCGATACGCACTGGGTGGTGGCGCACACGCCCGTGACGTGCATGATAGAAATGCCCAGGGCCATCTAATATTCCATGGCAGCTACCGGATTCCGTAGGGAATTTCACTAATCGTTCGACCATATTTTGAACTCGTTCTGAACTGGAGTCCCAATACTTACGGTGTTTTCTTTTGTCTGAAGAAATATTACATTTTCAAGTTAGATCAACATGTCTACATGCTAGACTGACGCCAATGATATTCAACATCCTTATCGTCACCACTGGTTACTGACCAACCAGCTTCGTCAACCCATTGAGACAAAGTCAGCCGACAGTTTTCGACCAATCAACAGCGTCAGTGTCCTTGTGGACAACGGCTATTGGCTGGGTCACACATTTGGCCGTGGGTCACACTATTGGCCGCCGCAGGCTTTCGTTTGGAGCGAACTTCGGCTAAGAAAACTCTTCTGATGATATTAAGACCGAACTCCAAACCATACACAAATGCCCTCGTTTTGTCCAAGACATTTAAATAATTCAATGTTTTAATGACATCTATTTTTTTTAATTCGTACAGCTGAAGACGTGTTTACATTTTCCGTTGTGCAAAACACCGAGCAATATGAATAAAGTTACTCTCGCACAACTTCGATTCCAGGAGCCCATTCACTTTAAAACTGCAGAAAGAACTTCAACTTAATACCGGTTGTTATGTAAAATAAACTCTCTTCGATATGCGATAGAATAATTTCAATAATCTACAACTGGCTATTTCAACTTTTCCTCTCACTTTGCCACCAAACACACTCATACCAATTACTTTTCAGTCGGTGAAAATAAATTAAATAGTTTTCTTAAAACCTCTTGGAACAATATTTTCACATCGAGTACAGATAAGGTGGGACTTCATCTCCAAGAAATTGCCAATTTACAGTGTCTCCAACGCAGTCCGCGGGGTAATTTTCACCGGTTCCCATGCACCTTGCGCTCTCTTGTGTTACATTCTAGTGACGATGGTCACCAGCGACGTATCGCCCTTCAGCTTTTAAAAATAAGGGCCCATCTTGACAACTCAACAAAAATATCGGGAAAACTGAAAGCAATCTCAAATTACAACTCAGTAATGATTACAAAAAAGATTTCTAGTTATACTGATTTCATTCATTTTTAGTCTGGTGTGCTGGCTTGTTTCAATCAGTTGAACAGGATAAAAAGTCCCTTAAAATTAGGAGCTTTTATGACGACAATTTTTTTTTTAGTTTACTTTCAATATCAATTTCGATGATGTTGACTTATAAAGTCGTTATTCATTTTGTTTTTGAACAGCCTTAGCAATACAACATCAATGCAACTAAATACACGTATCGGAATGAGTTGGTCTTCAAGCATGGCGATATGGGGAGCATTAATTTTGTCCAATCATATCTGGCCATATAAATATCTGTTGAATATTCATTAAGTACAAAAATTGAAAACTGGTTAAAAATTATATTTGTGGGTTATTCCTTAACACACTTACACATTCTTTTCAGGAAATTCATACGTCTCTGGAGTATTTACAACTAATTTTATGACAGATGGTATCTTTCATGTTTTCGTCAGTGACAGAGCTGTTACCCGAAATGAAAATCGACGTCAAGCTTGTCGAATTATATGGCTCATTTCTGAAGTTTATAAACCAAAATAGAATTCAACACATTTACCGTCATAGCGAAACGGCCCTTAAAACAAATACATTACGTTCACTCATGAGACTGAATATTCATGTATGATGAATATTCATATCGTAATCCACTCTATGGTAGGCAATATCAACCATACAACATGTGACATAATGGCCTATAAAATATATTGCACCTGCAGAACTAATACATACAGAAATTAAACCAAAATAAAAAAAACCTGGATATAAAAAAGAAAATGACAGTGTTGGTTGCGAAAATTAATTCGGATTCAAGGATCAGGAAGGAAAAAATATCTCTCTGTGACTCATATCCAAGCGTGATTTGAAGTACCACCGAGCTTAATCCAAGTTCCATATACTGGACACTCACCCCCGCTACATAGAGCACTGATCCTGTACAGACTATGGTCACATTGAGCAGCACTTAAACTGTCTTGGAAATTACCCCAGATGTAGAGAAACTCCCCAGTCTGTGACTATCATTCCATTGCGGTTCCGTAAAGCTTCCAACATTAGGCACAGAGGGGGATCGAGGAGGATTGGGGTACGGTCTCGACCACGACAGTGACACTGTCAACAGCCACACTGAAGGAAAATCCCAAAATGCTCTCACAGAACCAATAACAGCTCTCCTCCGTGACTACTTTACAAAGCACCTTGCGAAAAATTCTGAAGCAGTCAGATCACGGGGCCGGGGTCCCATTCCACCGAGATATTTGCTTTATTCAGCATAGCAGCCAAAATGTCACACACCGTACAGTGTACACTCCTTGTCACTGGTTCACCTATGTTTCCTCAGCACATACATGCGCGCATGCCCACCAATATTTCCTCTTCAACAGCTCTTTTGAAACTAGTCCCGGCAAAACTCTTCCAACATGTAGCCTCAGCCAGTCCAGTAAACTGAGGTCAGACTTCTACATTAGACACGGTTCCAAATAAAGCGTCTGCATTAACATCTGCTCCATCTCTGAACCGAGTTTTCCCCCTCTCGGTAGACAACTCCTGAAAGACCCTGAAATTCTGCAAAAGCGGACCTCACATCTTAGTAATCTTCACTCAGGCTCGAGCCTGGAGGGGTCATCCTTCTGAACTTTTTATATATAATCCTGGCCCCTTATGTCTAGAACAATCTTAGAGTTGACCAGTAACACTTTTGTCGGTGCACAAGACAGAGAACCATTTAGAAAACACAGAAACAACCTTCCACCAGAAAGTATGACCAGATAAGTGACTGTACAGTGAACTAAGAATTCTTCGTTAGCAACGAATTCAAGCCGTTAAGCATAAGCGTATAACGTGAAGTACATGTGTTTACGAAACAGCCATTTACAGACAGCTTGTGGTTGGACCAGAAAATTGACATGCAAGCAACTCGCCTTGGTTTTTGAAATGAGTCGAGAGTGGTGCTTCCAAAGCTAACACAAGGTTCAGTATCATACAGGTGGGCAGCTGAACATGCTCTGTAGGCAAGAGAGTTTGCTGAGTGTAAACAAGTTACCGGCAGAAAAATGCCGAGGGGCTGGGTGGGCGGTTTCCTGCTGCTTGTGGCTTAGCAGAAGGAAATTCGCTGAGCAGAATCTGCGGCTTTGTCGGGGGTCACGTTTCAAACTTTGCGGGAAAAGGTTTTAATTGCTTAGCAAATCTCGAGAAACAGAGCAAGAAGTTTTATGGCAAGAATTCGTGTGACTTTGAATCTCGTCTGTACTTGCACTGGTTCAGTGTGTCTGAGACCTTGGCATGAAGAAAATCTGTTCGCTTGAGAGTGTGAACGATTGATCCCAACATGTTTCAGATGTTCTTCATTCCCATGACAGGAGCCAGACAACCTACATTTGGGGAATGTTTCATATTGACGGTTGAGAAGGAAGGGGAACAGCACATGTATCATCCCCGGTTTTTTTCCCGACACCTGTATTCTGCCCTAAAGTAGCATGATTGCCGCATTTAGAATGTAACAGCAAGTATTTCAATGGCTTGATGAATATTCATCCCTAATGAATATTGATGTGGAGTGACCACCCCACATATTCATTTGAATGACGAATATTCAAATTATGACTGGCCACTTGGATGAATAGGCTGAATCAATTGGCTCCAAACAGTTCCTCCCCACTTGCTGCCGAGGGTAAGCCCTGCACGACATTGGTGCTCATGCGACCTACGCTCATCATCTTCATCTCGTTCCCAGTCTCCGGGAGCACGGGCATACCAAGGTCGCCCTGCAGGAGTGAGGCCGCCGAGGACCGCTCCGAGGACTGGCTAGACGTGGAAATGCTGGCCTCCTGGGGCGAGGACTTCCGCAACCCGCCGCCGCCGCTGGCCCCGGCTGGTGTCTTTGGACCGGTGGCCTTGCCGGCCTTCTTGGCGGGAGAATGGTGGCTGGCAGCCCGGCCTGGCGGGGCCGAGGATGTGGAGGGGCTGTTCTCGTGGAGTGGCGTCGCCGATTGGCTGGTGGCTTGGGAGCGTAGGGGACTGTCCTCGCTTGCTTGTTGGTAGCTCAGCAAGTCCTCCTCGCTCTCTTCATACACTGGATAGCTACAATTCAAAAAAAGTCAGAAACTCTTCAGGTGTGGGTTGAAATTCAGTTTCTGGAGACTTTGTTCCTTGGTTCGGGAAATGGTTTCAAACCATGAATGCGGAAATTCCTTAAAGCTAACAATCCCACCGGCTCAGTTTGGCAAATTGTGAAACTGGTGAAGTTCCACAGGTGGTGCAATCATAAAAGTAAACCAATGCTGGATCACGTACTCCAAAGACTGCTGGCAAAAATGGACGCAATGTCGATCAAATGCAGAGAAGAGTCAACAATCTTTCTTTAATCAACTGGCTGTGGCTAGAGTATCACACACATCCATGAGAAATGGCTGCAGCCACTCAGCCAGCGGCTACTATCGGTGCACGTGATATTTCAAGCCACAACCACTACTTCGGACACAGCCTTGCTGTCAGTCTGTATCTCTTTTGGCACGCTCACCTGTAGCCGTTTTCGTCAATGATCTCATCGTTGTCATCGTCGCTGTCGGAATCAGGCGCCACAAACTGGACCTCCATGCTTATCTCTCCATTCTGAAAAAAAAAAACCAAAGTTGGAACTCAACTCACATGTGGAGTTCTTCTCGTCACTCATGCAATACAGAAGGTTGCTTAAGAGTTTTGAGATTGAGACAAATGACCAGTGATCGGTCTCGTGACAACTCAAACCACTGACATCTTTACGTTCGATACAAACTTGCATAAAATTAACACCTCCCCCTCACCATCCCCCGTTTTGTGCCCCAAGCTCCTCCCACCTGTCGGGACAGTATCTCCACAGCTTCGGCGTGTTTAGCGTCGCGTAGGTTGATCCCGTTGACCGATAGGATGGCGTCCCCCACGTACAGACCCTGGCTGCGGTCGGCTGGCAGACCCTCGTGGATCTCCGAGATCAGGATGGGAACGCCATGCTCTTTGCCGCCCTGGGGACAGAGAGGAATGGATCAGAGACTGGCCAACTGGTGTCAGTGGTGGAAAGTATTGGATCGACGGCTTGACTGTTGAGGGCGCTATGACAATGGACTACAGCAACCATACACATCTAAATTTAACATAGACATGGCATTTGTGTACTTGTGAGTTTCTGTCGCCAAAACAGGCTGCGTCACGTGACTGCAATGTTATTTATATGCAAGCATGAATGTGGTGCATGTCTTTGAATCATATGCAGACAAGTAAGGACGCCTTTCCAAAGGCAAGTTTTTTGGTATTACTTTGCCATGTTCCATGTCTGTATATTTATAGATGGACACCCTCCAAAGCCTATACAGATGGACCTAGAAGGCCACTGAAAACCCATCTGTGGTAAGGTGCAGGTTCCATCTGCACAGTATTTGAATAATTGATCTTCAATTTGATTGAATATTCGGTTGTATTGACCGGCAGATTGTGGAACAAACCACAAACAAAATCAGTTGTAACACAGCTGTACATAATAATCACTATAACAGCTTCTTACATCTAGGAGTATCTGCAGCCACGATCTAGCAAAATTTAAGCGTCGAACAATACCTCTTGTCCTGTTGGAAATTTCTATTCCTTTTAAATTTTCTAATGGATAATTTGCTTTTTGGATAGTAGTAAGATTTCTGATGCTTTTCATTAGAATCTGCTTGAAAAACAAGCTTCCATGGTGCAGTTTTTCTCATTTCATAATAAATGAAAATTCTCCCTTCCTTTTCCTGAATTTTGCATTCTAATATTCAAATTCGGAAAATAATATTTGGATATTTAATAAGCGATTGAATATTCAGATATTTGGATATTGGGCACAGCCCTAGTGTCTAGGTTAAAGTTAAGACATCCACAATGGGATCTCCCCACGGTACAGGCAATCAATGGCACATACATTGTACTTCGGCTTTCAAGGGATTTCAATTTCCATGGACAGAAGCAAGGGCTAGGCTCTGCCTTCTTTAATCATCCAAAACGCTCCAGAACTCCTGGTTGAGTTTAATGCTTCTGGGACGGTTTGGTTTAAGTACATACACACAGGAAGCAATCGATGTCATCAAGTTTTCCGCAAGTTGCAGGAAAGGTATTTGTCTTTATCATAATTTTATTAATCTTTTTCTTATATTTCTCTCTAAAATCTAGCATATCAAGTAAAGTTGCGTTACCATCATTGAGTGATTATTTTTGTCAATTTAAAATCTGTTATCAATTTCTCCTACATTAGTCCTCGTTACGTAATGAGTCTATCTCGTTTTACCGTGATGGACATGCCCAGTCCCTCGCTTTCTTCCTTGACTATCAGCACGGTCCGTGTTTCGCCCACGCCACGATGGCTAATGGCATCATCCTAGCAGGGATGGGAAGAACTAACTGTCAGGATCTTGGTCCCAAAACAAAAAAAAAAATCCACGGCCTCCCTCTTCCTGCTCCTCTGATACAAAACAAGTTGTAACACTACACTATCTTGTTTCCTATGATGCTTGATTCCAGTTTTACCCGGATATTACGGCTGAGTCAGTTTGAAATCACTGCTTGTTGAAACATTCAACCCTCCAATCAAATAAAACATGCAGGATTGTGTGGTGGCCTACTTCGTTGAGTTTCAGAGACCGGGTCCAAAGCCGGGGTCCATCGTCTAGTCACAGTCTGAGGCAGGGAGCCCAGGAAATGTTTGGTCACAACTGGTGAGTTATTCCCAGAGGCCAGGTGAGATCACACACCCACAAAATGCCCAAAACAGAAAAACCAGACGGAAAAGTAATTTTTTAGGACTTATGGTTGGGCATAAAAATCAGCTGCCTTCAAATTGACCAATACCACTTGGAAATACTCTTTTAGAACGCAATTTTGTAGCCGGGTAAGAGGAAAGTTCCCCTTTTATGTTATTGATTTTCAACTCGAAACATTCGATATAAAAAATGGACATTTAAAATACAATCAATCCAATGCCTGAATAGCCTAAGATTCAGCACAGCCTCGGCCGTCTTACATGTCCTGGTGGTTGGGGTAATCTGTTCCGATAACCCTGACGCCCCCGGCAGGCTCTGATCACCGTCTTGTGTCGGTGGAGGTGGATCTCAGCTTCCAGCTGGTTCCAGAGTTTGTCGTGTTCCGGACCCCGTAGATCCCTCCCCAAAAGCTGAATCTGTTGGATTCTGTGGGGGGAGACAGATCAATCCATTAAAATCAAACAGGTGACATACAAACAGAGCTGCATATTACAAAGTGTGATTCTACCATGCATGTACCAACTGATTACAGAATACAAATGTACACTACTCAAAAAAAAGTTAAGGATCCTTTTTTTCTTAACTAGTAATTGTTTTCCAAGCAATAAAAGACGTCTAGTTCTTTCAATTTTTGTTTGTCCAGATGGTGTTTTCATTGGAATAAATATTAACCAATATTTCAAAACATCAAATGCACATTTTCAGCAGTCAAATATCTGGAATAACAAAAGTATACACAAAATAAAAAGTGGTCCTTGTTTTGAGTAGTGTACATCGCATACATTTCTTGAGACAGGAACGTGTCGGGTAGGAGCTGTATTTGGCAGGCTGGGAATTTCGGCTGCATTTAAATTTGAATTCGAGACCACCTTACATGTACTGGTTCACTATCAATAATAGAGAGCACTTTGAAAAATGTGCAAGTGGATGGCAAACATCGCACCTTCGAAAGTAAACAATGATCAAGCATGGTGTGTTTGTCAGTACCCACTAAATATGACCCCATATAATGTCTTGCTCAAAGGATCACTTCAGAACATAATTTGTCCAAAGCAAACAGATTACATGTAGTCATTACATCAACAGTTAAATATTCCAAGTCTCCAAGCCATCCCAGAAAATAAAAAGAGATTAAACGGATGGCAAGAAACCATACCATCAGAAAAATTTCTTGTTTTTTTTTTTTTTTCCTCTTTTCTACATGTATATCTACCAAACAGCTTGAGTGCATGCCTCATTCGCATTATGCAGCAGATTCCGGGATTCGAAGGTGTACAGTGTGTAATGTAATTCGTTTAGGCCCCGCGTTGATTACACGAAATACTCAAAAATCAGATTGTATTACTCAGGGCACTTTAGTTCTCAGAACGGGCCACATGGCGACTACCATGACGTAAAACAAATAAAAACCTTGTAAATTAACATATTTACGTTACAACTACACGGCCCACGAAATTGGGTGAAAAATTTGGTCAGACAAAACATACTGTATTTTGAGCACAAATCTATGTCATTCTACCGTTTTGATCAAACGTGTACCAAGCCAAGAACCAAGTACCAGGAACACACTCTCAAAGTCTGAATGTCATTAACACAAACACCAAAGAAAACAACTAGAGAATTTTGCTTTAGGGACTTTACTTTTCCTATTCATTCGGACTTTTTTTTTACTGCATCTACATTGTACGTTTGGACACACAAATAGCAAATGCCATCAGAAAGTGGCTGATGTCTAGTGAAATTTCACGGTCCATCTACATGTACATATGTGCCTGATATCGTTTGTTTTACCTTTTCAATTGGTACTTTCACAAAACACCCTTTTGTTCCCTTTTACAGCGTACATCAGCCGTGTGTGGACATTAACATACACAAATCCCACGACAGTATGGACATCAAATCCTCAACACGACAATGTGGGGACAGCCTGGGAAGCTGCCAGCTAATTAAATTCTCTGGCCCGCTTCTATTAAGTTGGTGTTTGGAAATGCACATGGCTCTCTGTGCAAAATAACATGTGTAACTGAAGACAGCATGATTGTGTGTGGGTAGGGATAAAGCTCTATAATGCTGCCTTGATATAGTCCCTTCTATGTTTATTCAGTGAAGTGGATATAATCAATACCTCATTTTGTGGTAAGAATGTCGTTAATACATGTACTTCTTGGTGGGAATTTCACATGTACATGTACATCTACAGATGTGACCAATGCTTGGACAGAGCTGTGGATTGCTGAATAATTTATAAATAAAATGTCTCTTTAAATGGCACCAAATCCAGCATACATTTGACGCTAATACAATGGGATTATACTTTAAAATAATAATAAACTGGAGAAAATTCCAATGACAATACAAATATTGTAACTGCAACTCTAACTTCAGTGCAATGTTACATGTTACTGTGAAAGACACCAAATTCATGACAATTAACGCCATAAAAAAGACACCAACTTGAATGTACATGAACATGTATAACAAAGGTTTATTTGTACATGTATGTACATGTATACACACAGATTATCACCCAAGTCTACACATCCATAATTTGGGAAACACTCTACATGAACATGATAGAATTGACTAATTTCAGGAGGTATTCATATATTTTTATATATGTTTTACATGAAACATCCCCCCCCGATCCTAATAGTTACAAATCCTTTCACTTAAATCAAAATATCTTTTAAACACCTCAGGAGTTTAGGGTCAAAGAGAGTTACCCTCTGCAAGCCCATTCCCATTAGTCTACACAGGGCTCGACACCCATCGGAAAGTAGAGACATAAAGAACATGCTAACTTATCTTAGCGAGACACACGCGTCTACCTACCTGCCAGCAAGTTCCTTGTCCAGATATTTGGCGGCAAGCCGCGCTCCGTACACTTCGCCTTGCAGCGCCATGATGTGCTGCCGCAGCTCCACATTCTCCTTCTGGTACTCCTTGAGCTCCGCCTCCATCCTGGCCTCTTTCATCCCGTCCGCCTTGAAGGATTCCATTTCTTGCTCCTGATTGGGCGAGAGATTTGACAGGTTAGCCCATGAATGGGGTGGGGTCAAGGACATCTAAATGACCCTAGTGCCCACAGATGTCCCAAGAAGTTAAAAAACTACTAACGCCGTACACATGTATACATGTAAACTCAAGGCAGTGAGTCACTTGTGTTCTTAGGCAAGCCACTTGACCACAATCTACCCTCTCTCCCAACGTAAGCATTACCGCAACTTTGATAACTCTATTACTCACAGAGGACTAACATTAAAGTGAATAATTTACACACTAGTGACTGACAACTTGGGAAACTATAAACATTGGGTTGGACAGCTGACTTGGTCAAGCATCCATGGCTCTTAGGGTTATAGGATTTAAACCAAGCCCCACTGACCAAAGGGGAGTTTTCAAACTTCACCTGTGTGTCTGTCTCTAGTACATGTATACCATACAGAATGTTTGTATGCGAGTGATATTTGAGCTATTCTAATTACAACAATAATTCTGTCTTTGGACAGCATACAGGTTGATGCTGCTCCGACAAAACTCAACTTTTTGTTGAGCTAAAATTTCCAAAGTCAGGAAGGTATCGGAGACGGAGACTAAGCCAACATGTGGAAAATCTTCCAAGTTTTTGGGTTCCAGTGAATAGCCGTGTTGTAGTTGAGACCATCACAAGACCAGACACAAAACCACGCACAAGACCAGTCACAAGTAACTGGTTGAAAAATGACAAAGGAATGCTTTCGTTGTAGTTCGTTTGAATAGCTTGTGACCTGTATTCAGGCTGGAGGTCTTGTGCTGGCCTCGTGAAGGTCTTAAGTGGTCTCGACTACAACACTGCTAAAGAGCAATCATTTTTCACACAAGGGACAAATCTGGCCCCAAATCATCACTTTTTCGAATGGCTGTTTTCAGGCAAAAATGGACCAGGCTACGGACAGCTCGAGCCACCTTGACCAAACCTGTTGAAATGAGCCTAATCACAATGATCTCTATTGGGCCAAGTTTTGTTTCCCCAAGGGCCATATGGTATTCAACTCTCAAATTATAACACTGTAACAATGCTACACTTCAGATTTCACAGAGGGACGTCCACAAGGTGAATAGATAATCCTTAATTACATTGAAATTCAACATGGGACGGGGCAATTTCTGGCATTTCCGTCAGTTTAAAATACATACTTCTGCACGATATACCTAACTGATCAACTCTTGGGAATTTAATGTCTATGAATTCTCTATTTTAAAAAGTGATTTCCTTGAAGGAGTTAAGATCTGCGCTGCACAGCAACATATGTCCCTTCTCGAGAGTGGCGACGGAATGTGTCGCCACTGCGGGCACGCTTGATCAGCGACACACTGTCAACCAACAATCGATTTTGACTGGTAACCTATGCATGAAATACACACCGGGTACCAAGCAAAATCGACCAGTGGTTAACAGACTGTCGCTGATTGAACTTTCCTTGGACTTTTCGGACACCCACCAGTCTCTTTTTGATGGCGTCCGAGTCCACGTTCTGCCCCGTCTTGGCGTGCAACTGCAGCTGTACGGCGTGCAACTGTAGCAGTTGGTTGTGCAGTTCCTTCTCCATGATGGATTTGGTGGCTCTGACCTCACACAGGTCGGCTCGGAGATTCATGACTTGAGCCTGAGGTCAACATCACGGATGTCAGGGGTTAGTGAACTCTTTTCGACAGGCTTGAAAAAACTTCGCTCGGGAGTGAACTGGTGTAATCGGGAATAGCGGTAACGAGACACACTAGCGACAAAAATATTGCGTTTGGGAAAAACTGGGAAACTGCAGTGTTGGTGTATTGATTTGTTCATGTTATTGCCTGGTTAAGTGAAGCCATGGAATAATGTGTATAAGGAGTCTAGGCCGAAACCACTCGTTTCGAAAATGCTCATACAAGGCTTGGTCGGAAAACTTTCAGAAACTGAGAAAGTTTTCGCCATGTTCCTGTTAGCTGGTTCTGGGGTTTGTGAATTTCCGGACCCCTCTCCTACATAGAAGAATTAGATTTCAGTAACTAAATAACAATGACATGAATTCGCCAAACTGCAGGGTTAATTTTGGTGAACGAGGGCAGGGTTTTGAGTTTTGGTGGAATTCAGGCCTATGGGGTAAAAACGACGACGGTGACACAGACCGTGCATGCACGCCTTCACAGAAAATAAACATGGCAATTATGTCAACGTGTTTGATAGAGTGTCTGTGATTGGTTACTGACAAATTTATTCAGAAAGCCAATCTCTGATTGGTCGAGAGGATCCATTTGGGGAGTAAGAGTATGAAAAGAACAGCCAAAGCTCAATGTAAAATTTCGCCAGTTCCTTTTCTGGACGAATTTCCCTGATTGGACAATACCTTATTTGCATGAATAAAAGACAGAGTTTAATTGGTTTAAAATTATGGGGGAGTAGGTCTGTTAAACAGAACGGCACTATGCATAACGCGCCATGTTTGTTCATGTCAACATGACCATCTCTTAACCATGTTCACGTTGATGAAAAAACGGTAACAAAGTCACATTTTTCTCCCGATTTACTCTTCCAAATGCAACCCAAATAAAGCCATGGCAATCGACTGACATTTCCCAAATAATACTCTAAGTACCTAAAACAGGGGGGTACCTAGCCCCACAAATAGGGCTGTAGTGGCTCTCTTTTACAATCTGTGTCTTATCTGTCGTCACTACATCTGAGCCACTACAGCCCTAGGCCTATTTGTGGGGCTAGGGGGTCCCGAAATTCACAATCTCTGCTGGTTCCTATGTAGTCTCCAGCTAGAGTTTTTTCGAGCTATATATGCAATCACACGTATGAAGCCAAACCACGGTTCACAACCATGCACAATGCATGACATCTAGATGCTCAACCAACCATAAAAACTTCACGTGTGAAACTAGGCTCCAATAACATCCGGGCTTTATTTTCCTTAAAAACCCTCCCTGTCCACAATATCGACCCAGGATTCAAACCCACACCCCATTTATCACTAACCATGATGCTGTAACCGCTTGACTACCGCAATTCAAACAAGTTGGCGGTATTTTTACTGTTAATATACTGATGAACGGCTGCAACGCGAGTCCAATACACACTGAACATGTGGAATACAAATACAACCACCGTGGTTTGGCTTCATACGTGTTACGCCCCAACTATAGCATAAGTCCCAACTATAGTTGGGACAGTCCCAACTGTAGTGCTGCAGTTGGGCTGGCCCAACTATTGTTGACCAATGCCTGTGGGAAATGTCTCAACATTATCAAAGTCAATGTGTCTCACACTTGACACAATTCATCAAAAATGTGGCACTTAGCCCTATGACCAATGACATGACATTTGTAAACGATATGACTTTGGCACATGCTGGGCACATCATGCACACAGGACCTCTCTGCTGTAGTTGGGCCGACCCAACTGTTGCACTCTAGTTGGGACGGGCCCAACTATAGTTTGGACTTATGCTATAGTTGGGGCGTATAATACATGTACGTATGATTGCATATATCGTTTTATCACAGCCAACAAAAGGGCACATGAATACTACTACTCAGTACTTGACCCAAGGCTTATGTGCTTCCCTGCAAAATTTACCCCTTTCTTAAACTTATCTTTGAATTAAAGATATTTTGGAGGAGTAGGCAAACGTAGCCCCGCCCACTCACGACCGACAATGAGTGTGCATGAATTCTGTCGCTAACCTCCAGTTTGGCGTTGTTCTGGAATATCGTCTGCGCTTTGTGGCACAGTTGGGCAAAAGCAGCGCTGAGTGCCGTCATCTTCCTCCTCCCTTCGTAGGTTATCTCACATTGGTCCGGGTCAACCTCTCCCAGTAGAATATCCAAGTCCACGAAGGCCTTGTCGAACTCTTTTTCCAGGATGTCGAGCCAGTGAATTGCGGCCATCTTCTTAGCTGACATGTTGACTGCATTAGTTATTTGTCGTCGCGTGGTGGCGCTGTTGACAAATTAAGGCAGCGGCATGTAACACAACACTGCGCGCGCGGTGACCAAAAAACCTTTAAAAAAATCACAATTTCCCACTCGTTCAACATAAGATGGGGGGGGTCATTTTTAGCTGTCCCACAAACAAACAGCCGTTTTTAAGGGTTCCGTGTGCATGAGGTTACAGCACAGAAGCACGCAGGGATACGTAAGATGTAGTCCTGCACGTACACGTCAAAGATATTGACTGGCCTCGGATAGTATAGTGCCCCCCACCCACATTTCGAATTTTCGAAGCTGCGTATTTTTTAAGATTTTAAAATCCCCATCTCCAACTCGACACGAAGTTTCTCTGGTGAAAGAGTAACAGCAAATAACTGCCAACAGACACGATCTTACACAGCAGAAGAGGAAAACACGATGAGTTTACAACTCTGCTTTATTGTTTACAAGTCAAGCATGCAGTAACAAGAACGCACGAAAGCAAAACCAAAACAAACTAAAATACAATGAACAAGTTAAGTAAGCAAACAGGTTTTTACGTGATAAAAGACGTTAAAAATATAAGCACGCTTTTTAAAAATCATTTTGGTCGTGAAATTCTGTTGTAACGTCCGAAGCTAATGTCATTCGAAAGTTTCGAATTCAGATTTCTCCTATCCTAATAGGCCTCCATGTATTCTGGAGCTAAATTTCTACTCAACGTAGACTTGATACTGAAAAATTCTCCTTCCAATATTTTGAGGTCAAGCCGCACTACAACTCTCGATGACACGCCCTCCCCCGGCACTCTCATTTACCCGAGGAGACGCCCTAGCCGCTGGTACTACAACTCGCGCGCGCGAGAGAGTCCCAAATGTGTATGCGTTGTTTGGTCCTTTCCGCATCCGGAACCGTGTACCATGTCGACTGAACACTTGCAACTGACGCACAAGGGGAAAATGACTTTTAAGACTTGAGGCGCGGGTGCATTCGGCAGGAATGTGACGCGCACGTACCACCTCATAACCAGCGTGGTGCTGCCGCAGTGAAGGACTAAAATTCCGGTCCCCGGCTTAGTCCAATCACGGCTTCAGGTATAGAAAAGGCTACATCTTGCTCACGACGTGGAGATTTACTTTCTACATGAAATACGGTATCAACACCGTCTACAAATGATAAAAATGGCACCAAGCACAGGTTTAATAAACTTACAGTGACGACATGATGGAAGCCGCAAGGGTAACGGGATTCCGTTTACAAATTCTGCCGCAACCAGTAGCGATACTGATGGAAGCCTCACTCTTTGCGTTCCCGTGTCTTAAAAAAGTTCTATTTCAATGGGTACGCCTCACTACAGGCCAAGTTTCATAATTTGTGGCCTTTATCAAAGATTAAAATGTAACAGAAAAATCTTATTAAAAGAAGTTTAAAAAAATACACTGTTAACCCATGGGTTCGGTTTTTTTCTTGTTTTCCACCATTGAACAAAATTGTTTGTTTTTAGACAACAAAAAGTTCCCACAAGTCGACCACTTTTTGTGACAGGTATCAATCGTCTAAGATACACACTCACTGGTCATGCATGACAAGAATTCAAATTCGAGACCCGAGTATCGATAACAAACATCCACATGAGAGTGACATCCATCGCTGGAGATCAAAAGAAAAGCCTTTTCAAACTTCTGATTCGTTCAACTTGCAAAATAAAACACCATCTTAATGGATAAAGCACAGTGCGTACACAGACCGCACAGGCCTAGCTAATGAAGGACCATTTTCGGTTACAATTTTAGGCATGTGTATTGGGAACCTAAATGGCGCTTTATATAACTTTTACCACAGAAATGCGGTAAAACCTGAATTGCTTGTACACTCAAAGCCATGAAACTTGGTTTTTAAAGAAGCCTGCGAGGGTTGTTAAGGTACTACGACCGTAAAACAAGTTGTTATGAAGCTGTTCTTGTCCAGCCGGCCTTGATGTCTGCTGTCGATGCCTCCTTATGGTGCGGCACGCCCGCTCTGCATGTTGTCGATCTCGCGGGAAAGCTGAGCCAACGCACACGGGGTGCAGAACGTTACGGTGCAACAGTCGTTGATCAGCGTTCCCTGGGATATTGGGGGGAAAATCACCAAAACGTTAGGTAGTTATGTCGTTGCCTTGACGCTCAATGTTGCGGCCAGAGTCCATTCGACTCAAGGTCGGTTTGTACTTCAGGCGCATGCGAAAGCGAAGCGAATTCGACCTCACGAAAAAATTTGCAGCGAAGTGTCGCTGCAGTCGAAATGTGTTCTACTTTTCGTGAATTCGTCACGCGATTAGTTGAACCGACGTCGTGAATTCGCGTTTGGTTTCGCTTTCACGCGATGTATGAACCGACTTTTACGAGTAGCGCCCAAACGTTTCCACGGTCTTTCTTGTGCTTAGTCTCAATGAGGCATTGCAACAGCACACAATGCCATGACCTCCACTTGTTCGGACTGCCCGTTGAGGTGTCCACGTATAGAGGGTCCGATCACGAGGCCACACGGTTCCCCCAGAGACCGGCCACCACTACCAAAGGCGAGCGTTACTTTACTGTTTACGTCGTATATATTATAAACTTCAACCTGACAGTGGGTCTTTGGTCTTTCACTAAAAATAACTGTGAATTGTCTATTAAATAGCACGATGGGTCACCACTTGTGTTAAGGACATCATTCGTTCCAATCTAGTAGCAGGTGCTGGCTCCACAGTTTCGCATTCTTTAAAGGAAACCATAGAGCTATACATATATTTTGGGGGCGTTCGATTAGCTTCCCTGGACACACCAGTGTTACACTCAAGGGAAGCCTCAAATGAGGCTAATCGAACGCTGCAGTGTGTTTTCCAAGGGATTCTGGGAAAAAAAGTCAAGTCCCCGCCACGTTCCATCGTGTACGTCCATGCTCGAACAGTCTGTCCGTCACGTAATTACACTCGGACAGCCTCCAGAGACCCGCTCGCCAGCTGGGGTAGTGGTGGCTGACACCAGGGCAGGCACGAAGATCACGAACGCTCTCGTGTAAGTTTGACTTACACGTGTAAGCTAATCGAACGCACCTATAGTGTAATTCGACCACTAGAATGAGAAGCCATTACTGTGGTGGCACAACGCTCGTGGACAGGTGGTACGCGCGCGTTACATGCCTCTCCAACCAATGGGGTGCCGTGATATGCCAAATGCACGCGCGCGTCAAGCTGAAGAATGTGCGTGTGAGTGAGGTGCCACCGCAGTTAGGGCGTCTTATTGGATTAGCCTGTTGCACTATGGGCTTGACTAATATGTAACAGTGTAGAATTCTTTGCGGCCTTTGCCTATTGGCGGAAGTACGCTGGGTCACGTGGGACAATGACAGCGCCTTATGAAATTGAACAAGTTCAGGAGACTCGACCTAGACACAATGTTGGCGACAATGATCAAACTATATATGACAGTCCTATAATGTCATTTATGTCTCAATCTCGACCAACTGCGATATCGGCAAAAGCAAACAGCTCGTTGCGAGAAGCGGGTGGTTTCCGCCAATTCATTACAATATCCCCCACCAGAAATTCACCCCCAAATAGGCCAACATTTATTTTAATGCGTCCAGCCTTACAGTTCGACAGGCAAGGGCTGGGTGGTGGCTATCGTGGTTTAAATGAAAACAAATTTAGACAACGACAAGAGTACACGAAGTTGATAACCGGGCCTCATACCTGGATGTTATGACGTCCACGGACGTGGGCCCTCATCACCATGGTGCCGTTTGGCACGCAGATGGGCGTGCAACAGTTCTGGCCCATCTTGGTGGCCACGTGACACTCGTAGCAGGGGAAAAAGAAGAACGCGCACAGACCTGCAAACAAAGTAATTTTTGTCCAAGCTCAGAAACAAATAGCATCAATCAACCATTTACGCTTCTGAATACAGGCAATTTGCTGAGAACTGATTTTCAGATCTGTATACAACTCTTGCTGTTATGTATCCTATTTTTAATGTCCAGGGTTTTGATGTGCGATGTTATGGGGGTATATGAGGAAGGTAGTTCTCGAGTTTTTGAGGGAAGAAATCCAACACACCAAAGACATCAACTCCTGCGTATTATGAAACTGGACGGATCCCCCCTCTATTTTCTCCTTTCTTAGGCTCTGCCACGATGAGACCAGACACTCAAAATTTACTCAAGCAATCAAGATCACACAAACACGATCTCTATTCTTTTTTCAGGAAGTGAAGTTAGTTCTTTTGTGCAGTTTTTATTTGCAGTTTCCTCCGCTGATTTTTATAAACGAAGGATTGACAGGAGGACGCCGCTGTCACCGAAAACTGGTTCGCCAATACCGCTGTGCGCTTGCCTTATAACCTGCTGCCTGGGAGGACGTGAAGAACCTTACACGAAATTCAACGAAATTCAACGGGAATACTTACACCCAACACAGTCCTCAAAACAACCGCAGAGAGGCGTAGACCAGTCACGTGGAATGCCTCGAGGGTACAGGAAGTTGCTCTGCCCGATCTGGGAAACGAAATTTAAACACGTCGCCTCATCACGTGAGCTTTTAAAAACCAAATTCAAATGCACTAATTATGGATTAAAATTATTCTAATCGCAAAATAACTGAAGTCAACACTGTGAGAATTCCTACGTTTATGATGGTGGTGGTAGTGGTCGGCTGGGAGGTAACCACGGTACCCATCGGCACTGCAGGGGGCATCTGCACAGCGACGTCAGCATCGCTATAGGCTACCATTTGTTCGTACCTGGGCTGCTGCACAACCGCACCGGTGGGGTCCATGATTTCCTGGTATCTAAAAACACCGAATACCTTAAATGATGTTATCAACATGATATAGGAGTTCTTGTGGAATGGTCACAAAGCGACATCCGCATTGTACATGTATATTCACGGAAGCCGTACACAGTGTCGCAAATACACAAGTGAACAGAGGGATATTGTTCGCGGGTGCCGGCAGCGCCGGGCACTATGGAATTCCGCTGAAAGCAATCTCTTTTAGCAAGAAGTGTTGGTCCTGAGAAGAGCCGGTGATGGTAGCTTTCGACGTTTCAAGCAGTGCACTCTGTTCGTTCATAGGAAACTCTCACGAATAGAGCACGTCCGAACGTTGAATCTTTTTCTTCTCAAAGTCAACACCTCTTACCAACTAGGTTCCCGCAAACAATACCTCTCTGTATACTATCCCGTCATGTAAAGCTGTAACTAACTCCTGCACAGCAAAACCTTCAAGTTGCGTTTCTCCGCTTGTTCACATAAAAGTATTTTGGAGGAACATAATTATAATGAAGAGATTCTAAATGTTGTATAAAGCAAAAAACTGACAGAACACCCGAGGAGGTGGTTTCGTAACAAAGCATCTTTGCGAAGTATTAACTTGGTATTTTGTCCAATGGAGTGACTGCATTTTTTTCTTTCCTTAAAGAGTAGCTCAATGAATTTTTCTTCGACACAATTTTTCTGCATCTTTGTACTTTTCTTCAATGTATGAAAACTCTGTCACACTCCTATTTGGTTAAATGCATTGAAAAGTCTACACTTTTAAACAATCAAAATTATCATCCACGTTTTCCCGGACAACTGAGGGCGCTGTTGCTGTGAAGTCATCTAGAGAAGACATGGTTCAGTGCATAGGTATTTCTGTTCATACAGTGAATCCAGAAAGTACTAACTGAATACATTTCTGGGAGAGGATTTGATGGTTTTCTTACTGCTATGCACATAAACAAAAATGAATCGGCAAAGAAGAGAAAACTTAGTCCAGGAAACGCTAGCTACAAAAACACAGAATATTTTTTAGTACAAACCAATGTAACATTGAAGCTTCTTCCTGAGATGACATCACAGTTTTTCTCATGACTATGGATATACTAATTAGCACAAAAACCAAAAAGACAATGAAATAACCTTTGAAATACTGAAACCAAAGTTGAAAGTAAGCTTTACTGAGGCACAAAGGTCCATTTTACTGGTTTGTAATCAAAAACATTGATTGCAGCTACCCTTCAATGAAAGGAAACACCTAGCGGCAGCGCGCCCAGCGGGGACTCGCCGGGGGCATAGGATCAGAGTGAGTGGACTCCATGGTATAGGCATGGACTGGACACGACGAATAGGAAGGAACTCGGATCTTGGTTTACTCCCCATCACTCGAGAATCAAATACTCTCACGCCCCAATAAATCAAAACAAAGCAAAACAAAATACCCTGTAATGTAATGCAGGAATACAGAATTGCTGTCAGTGACTTCAACCTGAAGTTAAATGATACACCGGGGCTGTGACATGTCGGGGCACGAATACATACCGACGTGCAGTGTACGACGTGCACGTATGCGCTATAACCGGTACACTAAACTTTAAGATATTAAAGTCATTTTTACATGATCCACGGATCACTCACTCACTCAGCCGTACACAGAGAAAGTGGAAATAAAATGTAACCCACAGCTGAATTCGCAATAAACTATCTAACTCTCAGACTCGAGGGTGAAAAGGTTAGGTTGTTTCCATGGCGATGTCACACTGACACACAAGGCATTACCGAGAAAAAAATCTCACCGTGCCAAATTACAATTGCAAAATGTTTTTGACCGTCGAATCAGAAGGTGAATTACATTGCAGGTACCATGGGGCTGTGCCGGATATCCAAATAACTGAATATTCGATCGATTGTCGAATATTTGAATATTATTTTTCGAATTTGAATATTCGAAAGCAAAATTCATTAAAAAGAAGGTACATTTTTCTTTTCTTTTAAATGAAAAAAATTGCACTATGGAGGCTTTTTTCAAGCAGATTCAAATGAAAAGCGTCAGGAATTTTACAAGATTTAAAGAGTAAATTATTCATAACAATTTAAAAGGAATAGAAATATTCAACAGGGCAAGAAGTCTTGTTCATCTCTTCAATCTTGCTAAATCGTGGCTGGAGATACTCCTAGATGTGAGAAGCTATTATATTGATCATCATAATTGTGTGTGTTATTGCAACTGATTTTGTATATGGTTTATTCATCAAGAGTCTGCTGGTCGGTACAGCCGAATATTCGGATATTCGATCAAATTGAAGGTCGAATATTTGAATAGTGAATTATTCGAATTGACTCAGCCCTAAGGTACCATAAACAATGCTTTAAAATTAAATGAGATACTCTCCATAATCACTTGTACAATAAAGAGACATAAGTATCATTTTCACAAAATTTGAACTATATATGCACTTTAAGGCTGCGGATTCAGACATGAATATTCATGACGGAGTGAACTTGAAAGCAACCCATACGCGGCAGATCCCCACCTTAAGAAACCACTTCGGTTTACTGATTGAAGATTCCAGTGTTTTAGTACTTATTACTCATCCAGCAATGACCACTGAAAATTATTTTTAAATAATGTACATTTCCACTCGAGGGCAATTACGGGGGAAAGTCGTAACTTAACCCCTACAAAGGGTATGATTGGAAATACCCCTGGAATACACTTTTATAATACATCATGTCTTACAAGAAGAATTATCAAAGCGAAACAATGTCTCATGTCAATCCAAACTCGGCCATACAGTTACCAATATTTCTTTTCTAAACCTTCCAAATATGGGCTATCTCGCAAATAAATGTCATGTAGAAAACTGGGCATTGGAAATGGACGTTCATTAAAATTTGAGCTTAGGCCTAATCGATTTTTCCCCAGCCACTTCTGAATAAGACTGAACATCCGTTCCATTTACCAAACCAAATTTGTATCCCTTCATTAAACGAAATTAAAGAGTTTTCAAGTTTAACAAGAAGAAAAAAAAATGTTTATTCCATCTGCACATACAAAACCCAGTTTGGAACATAATCCAAGCATAGCCACTTCCTGTGTTGTGACTGGCGTCGTCTGTTCTGCAAGCATTGAAATGCATTGACTCTAACTACAGGAAGCATTCATCCGGACCTTCCTGATGTGCAGTAATACAAGGTCAGACGAATGTTGACATGACCAAATACCAAATCTTGGTTTCGTCTCCGGCGTTGGATCCATTGTCGGGGCTCCAAAATATTATTCTCAAATGTCTCGTTATCAAAAACAATCTTTCCCTGTCAATTTATCACCATCAACAGTGGCGGGTCCAGGATTTCCCTGGGGGGATTGAACTAAAAATTCTAGGGTCGCACTGTAAAATTAGGGAGGTTGGGTAAACCGGAACCAGACTTGTTTTTTATTATTATTATAATTATTAACGCCCTTGTCACATTTATGGGGCTGGGGTCCCTCCCCTTTTTTCTTCCCCTCCCTCTTTTCTTCTCTTTTGATTGATTGATTTTTTTGGGTGAATTTGGATCCGCCCCTGATCCAAGACGAACTTCAACTGGACTGGTTAAAGTGGTGATTTTAGAAACATCCATGAGGAGTTACTTTCGCTTTAATACTCCACACAATCTTAAATTCTAAGCCCCCTGGGGAGACGTTTCTTCTGTCATCCATTTTTTCCCCTGAAGACTGTCCCATACACATTCTAAACATAATAACGAATACTCCAGAACCCCAAAGTTCTGGGGTACAATTTGGGGGCTTGCAAACAACTTTTTAAAAAATGCAGAGACAACAAAAATACCGCGCGTGCGGGCAACCAAAGCTCTTGTCTCATATCACAAGATAAGTTATCAAACGTTTTAGCGTCTCTCTTTTGAACTTCCGATTTTAGGAGGTTTCAAACCAGCTAGCAATTGCTAACTGGGCGTAAGGAACACTTATTAAGACCTTGGCAATCGTTACATGCAAAGCGTACAACCTGTGTGATATCACGGTGACACCAAATGCTAGCGATTCAGCAACACAACGTTGTTGTCCCGCAACGTTCACATTTTCGACCCCTCTTTCTTCCGCCAAAGTCCACGCTACATCTGAGCTGCAGTCTACAAGTACAAGCATGTGGTTCACAGTTTTAGTTTTGTCACCTTGTACCCACGATCCTCAATACCAAAATGAATGAGGGAAGGAATGTTTCTAAGAAGGGGGATTCAAAGCCTGTGGAGTCAAGGTCAGCACAGGCACATTCGCATACTTGTAGACGAGCCGAAGCACAGGTGACTCACTCTGTGCTGGACGAAACCGTCGGTGAGCCTACATCGAAACAACACAATCGAATCATAGACCCAGGAGAGCGTGGTGCTCGACAAAGCTTTAACTGGACAGGAAAACTTCCCAAAGAGTGTATGTAGTCATACTCACAAATATGGGCGAATGTAGAAGGGGTTCCCCGGGCCTTCTCGCCGAATTCGTCCTGTTTTAATCGCAAAATGGCGGCCACCAAACTGCGCAACACCCGTAATGGTGCACTGCTGTGTGAAATGAAAACATGTTGCGTGGCCTGATTCTTTCATTGGAAAGTGGGAAAGTCCCGTCGTACGGTGTATTCTCCCATTGGGCTGCGGCGCGGTGGGTGCGAGAAAGAGGGGAGGGGTGGATTTGGGGGCTGAATATTCATATGCCTCATCATACTTTCTGAAGAGGAAGTAAATCTGAAAAGCAACCCAAGAACAGGACTTTCCTTTTTTCCTGCTAGGGCAAAAAGCCTTATTTGCCAGTTCAAGTTTCTATTCTTATTTAAAACATTGCGTCGTTGTGAATTACGCTGCCCCGACACCCCTTTCACAATCGAATGGGATCACCTTTCCACAGATGTTGGCAATCGCCCTTGAGACATGATATACCGGTAGTAGAATTTTTTTCAGAACACTTTGGGCTTGGATGGACGTCGAAAGTCGCGGCTTTACAAGGGGTCATCCATTTTTTGTCATCATTTTAACAAAGCGCACAAAACGTACTCTTTTTCCTGCCCCCTCCCCCCTCTAAAAGAGTACAAAATAAAACGATTTCTTTGTGGGGCCTGAGGACCCATTCTAACTCACAATGTAAGGCTGTTCATGTGCAGTAGACGACCAGAGTTTGGTGAAAGGAGGAAAAACAATGTCCATGACAGGCAAATATGCATGGCGCTAATGGTAGTGTAAATCATGCCACATTTGGGTTCCAAATTTTGGACACAAAATGATGGACACGGGAAGCGGTGGGTGTATTCGCACGGTTACTCCTGTTAACACGAGTAAGATGCGTGCGCATTACATTCGGGTACAGGAGTATACTCATGTTTACGCGAGTAGCTCGCTCGACGACTATTACTTTTGTCACCGCTGATCGATTTTCCCTTGAGCCGGGACGTCCATGATCCTCGCTCAAACGTTGCCGCGGAGGGGATGAGGGCGCCCCCTTTTTATACCTTTACTTATAAAGAAATGAAGCTTACGTTTCTCTGCTTGTTTAACGCCTCCGTGCGTATTTCCCGCCCAGATATCTTTTGACATAGCGGGAGTGCCAGGCTGCTGGCTGCTGGGCCGTTGCTATGACAACTGATCCTTAGCAGAGTCATGTGACTTCTTCTTTGGCATGTACTACGACTTTCTGGCAGCTGGGCCTGTTGGTTTGCCCAACTCCCCTTTCTTCACCTACAAACTTGGTGAGTATGACAATTAAGCTAGAGTTTCTGGACCCCCTGATCTGGCATTGAAAACACCTTGTTGCCATGACACAGACACAAATATGCAGTTTCCCAGTCCCCAGTTTTGAGCTAATAGGCCTGCGTTGTAAACATTCAAGAAAGAGACAAAATTATGTACTGTTGATTTCTACTTTTAAACTTTCGATACCATTTTTCCCAAACGCAGCAAATGAAATATCACTGTCTTTTTCAGTTATTTATTAATTCATCAAAAGTGTTCTGGGCACTGTAAGCTCGCGACCCTGAAGAAACCCGTTAAGACGAGACAATGAGAAGCAGGTAGGCCTACAGTTTTAGAAGTGGGAGGAAAAACCCCAAGAGGAATATTCTGGGTAAAACCCACGGAATCAGGTAGGGACTGAAAACCCAATCCGCATTGTGGACCCCAGCCTGGATTCGAACCCTGACGGCAGAAGTGGAAAGCGAGGACAGAACCACTGCGCCAAACCAACTCCCCAGTTTGTAGGGTGATGTGTGCATGTAACATCACACGAGGATGAGTGGACGAAAAATTAACATTGTTTCTCATAGTTTCGATTGCACGTCTTAGCTTTATTTGTGTCTGGACTGCACGTCAGGCGTAGATTTATTACGGCTCCAGGGAATTCCTAGCAGCAAGATGGTAGTTGGTGTTCCTTGGTATGGATATGATTTCCCCTTGCGTACAGATTTTGCCGGTAAGAACTGAATTTCAAGTAATGCGACATGGGAGATTTGCCAGTGAGAATGAGTGACGTGCCTTGGCCACGTGAGCTGTAGAGCTATTTTGAGTATGATGAATATTTTGTTCCACCCGCGCACCAGCTAAAACAAGAATTACTGGAGGTTGTACGATTGAACCAACGGTGATTGGTTGACCTTGAGCTTGCGCACAACTTGATCTGTTGTCCTTGTAAGTGCACTTATATCTTATAATTCTTTCTGCGTTGGTAGGGCGATGTGAGCCTTGTCAACAGAACTTTCATCCTATCGCGATTAGGCGTTGGATCTGATACCAGACAAATCGACTACAGAGATGTGAACAAGCTTCTACCGAAGTACCCCATTGGTCGTTTATACAGCGAGCTCTTCCAGTCGCCATATTTTAATTGAAAGGTCTGATCACTGACCTTTGATAGCATTTCAATCTCTGAAGGTATGGCTGAGGTCGCGTTGAAATATGTTTAGTGACGTAATGCACTCTCCCAATTGAAGCAGCTGTTGTTTGTGCAGTCCCGTGTAAATGTACATTGACACGCGGAGTTTCTGACACACAGCGATTAATCTGGATTTCTTCTTGACCTACAGATTTTGACCAATCAGCAGCTGTGTATTTGAGCCCCTGTCGAAAAAAATTAACGATCTAGAACGAAAACATGGTCAGCTGATACGGTCAGCTGACAGAGATTTGGCTGTCACTCAAATATCGGCTTTTAGCACGTGTGCGCTCTCAATGACATCACATCAGATCGCGCGTTTTGGAGTCTCTGCGTACACTCTGTCGAAAAACAATGACACTACCTTTCCCGCCAAAATGACAAAGAAAATTTCACATGCTTATTTCATTTTTTTTCCCAGGATGCTTTGGGCCAAACCCATCAAGTTTGATATGACGACCCGGCCAGTCTCGCCCTACCGTACGCCTACTCCAAGACCAAAAACCTTCGTGGTGTGGGCGTGTTAGAGGCGGATTGTCTGGACGGATGTGGGACGCCATCGACAAATTCTTTATTCAGTAGCACAATCGCGCTTTGTCATGGGCACTTATTTGTAATGGCCACTTCCATACGTTATGTGCTTAGCAACTGATGGACTCATGACACAAAATTGTTTTACAATTTCAGCCTCTTTTGTTTCAACATGGCGATTCAGAGTTAAGTGCACGGACGTCATGTAGTATACATCAGAATCTGTACACGCAATGCTCTTGTGTCGTCTGAAGTTACCGGCAGCCATCTTACGACATCAAATACAAAGGTGGCCATTGGCTCGGGCGCCATTATAACTATTGTTGCCGAGAAAGAATTGGTTAACGACGGGCCAGTTTGTTTCACAGGGATCTGGAGATCACGATCAGTGATCCTGCCACTGGTTCGCTCCATCTATTAGGCGGATTTTGGTGTCAGTGAAACAACAACGGGCAACTGATCGCGATCCGGATCCGCGTGAAACAAAATGGCGAGCAAGCCCTTGTACAAATTATTACCTTTGTATTCGGCACGGTAAGATGGCCGCCGGCGGCTTCAATGACCTGGGGCTGACTAAAGGGTACTGCGAGTCTAGACCTTCTGCATGACATTCATGGGCAAGTGATGCACTGTACGTATTTGGATGAGCGCCGCGATGACTGCAAGACGATGCTGTGTAACTGGAGACACGACTACATGTAGGAGAAACACACACTTATACGGGAGGTAACTCCAGCTGCGAGTCAGCGGCTTTCGTACACGAGGAGCCAAAATTTAGTCTCACCAACAGAAAATTAACGTTACGATATACGGTACCTTTGATTTATTGCAACAATTCCGTCACACAGTATTCCTTTGACATAAAATTTACTTCTTCTTTGTTTTAGACCTATTTTTCATTCACTTATATTTCTCAATTAGTTATAGTCCATATACATACATTGTAAAGCGCAAAATGAAGGACTACTCCCTTTGAAGTGGCGTTAACTCCTTTCACAACATCCGATTTCCAATCTATTTTCCTGGGGGAAACATTTCCAAACTTCCCTTCTGGATGTTGAAAGTACTCCTTTCTTTAACACACCCGAATACATTGCTGTAGGTTAAGTTACCCACAAAAACGTGAATACATTCGAAAGCTGAAATGTTCTGTCAAGCCAGTAAATTCAGACCATTTTCAGCGTGTCCACATATATATTTGTTTTCATGTTAATGTATGCAAAACTACAGGAGCACATAAATATCAGTGAATAAGCCATACGGACGTTTCAGAGTAGCGCGCCTCCATGAATTTGCAACGCGTTAGCCAAATCACAATGCGCCAAATCTAGTCGACCCACTTGCGCGTTTGGAAAGGGTCACCCGATTCCGTGCATTGTGATTCGCCAACGCGTTGCAAACTCTTGGAGGCGCGCTACTCTGAAACGCCTGTATAGAGTACCGAAGTGTGACGTCACTGTGAACCAGAAAATGCAGTGCAAACGAATGGAGAACGCACGCGTGTTGGTTCACGCGCTGGTTCTCACGCTAATGCCTTTTACACACTAATTGTGCGCGTGACGTATTCACTTCGGTACTCTATGGCTTACTCACTGATATTCAATGCTACCTAAACGATAAAATAATTGTTGGTGGAATCCAATAATCTACGGTCACGTCATTTTAGGCATTTTGCACCAAGCAGACGCAGCGTGAATGCCGGTGTGCGACTTGACTCATGGAGGGCTTTAGGCGAACTCACAGCACTGCGCCAAATAGCATTCGAACAGGCCCTTTAGAATGATGCGGTGTACATTTTGTTTTCACAAGCAAGTTTTCATTTTAATTTACGCAAATTTAGCCTGGAAGAGTCGTTTTTCTCCTGCAAATTCCTGGCCGGCACAGATATCACTCCTTCACATAATTATTCACCCTGCAGTGACGGACATTAGTAAAACCTGGTATGCGTTCAGACAAATGCGTGTTCTATGTTCAGATAAAGTTTTCACTCCAATTGAAAAATGGCGTTATACAAAAACTTATTGTGGTCGTCAGGAGTTTCCACTGCCTTTGGGGTGTATTTTTCCCGGCGTACCGTCAATGCGAATGGTTTGTGCAAATTCAAGAAAATCGGCGGGAAAAAAACTTCCAATTTCTTTCGGAGCAATAGATAGTTGGCTGTGGTATATCGGGCACTGCACGAGACTGAAAAGAAATAACCAATAACTGTCTGGGAAGAAAGGAAAGTAATGTATTTGCTACAAGCCGAGTCAGGTGTATAGCGTAAATACCAATGTAATGGCGCAAGAAATGTACAGCAACATGAATAAAAATTATGCGGGCAGGTCTACCTATGGCAAAGGCACGTGCGAGGAATTCATGGAGTTTAAGCCCCAAGATACAGGTATCTCTATAGATCTGCTGATGATTTTAAAAGCAGTGCAAAAATCTTCATTTGAAAACTCCAGGTTGACAATGCGGTGTCTTTAAAAACGTACAGAGCTGTCACGTTGAAATGGAATTTATGAGTTCAAGTCATACATTTGACGATCTGATTTCGGGAAGCGTCCTCAACGGCGTGTTTTGTCCAGTGGCTAATTCTTCCAGTTTGGCCTCGTTCCAAACACTACCTGACTGATCGAATACGTCATCAACGCCGTTGGCCGAGACAAGACCATTTTCGTTTGCATTTATTTCTGATGGGGTGCTTGACCGCATGGCACAATCTACCGTCAACGGCGGGCTATCAAAATGTGTCCTCATGCTTGGTCCGGAAAGCTCGAAATTGTTATTTTCCAGAGTTACATTTAACTTGGCCGGCGGGGAAGCGATCTCTGCGTCTTGAAGATGTAGGCTGGAAGGGACCAGGTCCAATGCGGAGGAAGGTCTGGTTGGACCTGGGTACGAGGCATGCGGTGTGGGCGTGAAAGAGAACGATGAAACGGTGGAGGAGGTCGGCAGTGGGTTGGACTCTCCCTGGCGGCACAGCACCTCGGCCGACTTTGCTAGCTGCTTGCGGTGTTTTAGTGAGTGCTTACAGGGTGGTGCGCTGCATAAAGCCACGTTGGGTTTACCTTCAACAGAGCCGTGCGAGCGCCTACGGGGCAGAAACTGGAAGGGGTTAGCGCCCGGGCGAGGCAAGCCATGGCTCTCGGACACGCGCCGTTTGTTGACCGGCGGTGTGCCCAGCGAGTTCCTCATCTGGCCGACCTGGGGCTCCCCCAGGTCCTGGCTGCTGCCGTGGAATGAAGTGACTATTTGGGGAATGTCTGGGCGGAGTCCCAGGCCAGAGTCTCGCCTGGGTGGGGCCTCATCACCAGGCTCAGTTAGAAGTGGCCGCGCGTCACTTTGCATGTCCCCAGCACCATGCTCGGGTTCATCGGCCATCTCGATGAACACACTGTCCGCGGCCTTGCCGCTCGCACAGCTGCTTGAGTTCCTCCGTAGCGCCTCCTCCTTGCCCGGCAGCAGAGACGGAATGTTTCCAGGAGGACCGTCCTTAAGTGCACTTTCTATGTAGACCTCCTGTAAGTTGGTGGCTGACTGGTCCGTGCGAGGCCGCACCACCGCGATCTTTGGACCTGACTCGCTCCCCTCCGGAGCGTCGGCCCGACCTCGGCCTGCCGGGTCTAAGGGCGCGCAGTCCTCGATCGTGCCGCTGATCCTCCGGGGCCGGGTCTCTGCGGAAGCGGAGTAGCGGTACACTGGTTGCCGGCGCCTCTGCATGCGGTCCCTCTCCACCGCTTTCATCATGTTCACCTGATTATAACCCCGTTTGCGACGGCGGATGCCGCTGAAGAAACCCTTCTGAGACTCCTTCGTGGGTCCCTTACGGTTGAATCCTGAGTTGCGGGCCACGCGATCCCTGGGAGAAATGGATCAAACAAAAGGCAAGAGACCTTAGTCAGGGGAAAGTCATTTCTCGATCTTGTTCCATGAATCTATCATATTCAATGTAATCTGTCTAACTGGATGGTGCCTGACTATGTTGGGTTCCAAGCCTCACTTTCAGTAAATCAAATGTAGCTCAAAACATTCAAATATAATTTATCACTAATTTTTCATTGTTGAAAACGTACACTGGCATGAATTTGTAATGAATTTTCATTTTTTTGCTCTTATTTTAATCATCAGGTTCCAAAAAATTAACAGTTCACCTCACTTTTATTTCAAAACAGTCGACACACAAATACAGCCTACTGTAGACCTACTTGTATCCGAGGTGCGTTGCATAGAAATAAACATCTGAATTTATTATTTTTGATTGCTGTTTAATCTTAAACAAGTGCCATCCCGTTATTTGAAACTTGAATTAAAATTGGCAGCACCATTTTGTTATTTTTCCTGAAAGAACAGAACATTTCTTTTGCACATTTTATTTGATGGGTAATGAGGAAAGTCTGGATCGGGGAGGGTTTTTTTTCGCACTGTTCTTTTCCAGTCCATCACAAGTCATTTAGTCTTGAGCCGGGTCACCATCTATTCAAAATAATTATGAACTATGACAAAAGCATTCCTTTGTCATTGTTCGAGCTGCTACACAAGGTTGTTCCAGGAAAGGACTTCTAACTGGACATACAAAGGACTCGTCTACAAAACACTGTTTACCAACACCCCTGTGCACGTGTGACACGCATTCTTTATAGGCGGGCACTCATTTTATGAATGTCACGGCAGCTGTACTGATCGAGGAGACATTAACGGGCTCGTACACTCTGCCTGTGAGCGGAGTTCCTGTTATCGGTACAAACACAGTATAACGGCTTCTTATTCTGATGTGAGGACTTGGCTTTCCTGTTCACTCACCGTCCCATCCCCATCTCCAGGGAACCATTGACGCTGCTGGTTTTCTGAGAGGACAGCGGGGCCAACTCGCTGAAACTGCCCACGTGCATGCGGACCAAACTTGAGGTCTTCATGGAGCTCCGCCTGTTCCGCTCCGGCTTGAACAGCACGATGTAGGTCTTGGGGAAGAACAGGCACGCCAGGGCCACCGTGGCGCTGAGGCTGACGGCGAAGCAGACGACGATGTTCCGCATCTCGCTGCCGCCGAAATACAGCGAGATGAAGGCTAGCCAGACCACGCAGGTTGTGTACATGGTGAAGGCAATGTACTTGGCCTCGTTGAAGTTCTCTGGCAGGTTGCGCGTCTTGAAGGCATACAGCGTGCACATGACGACCAGGACGGTGTCGAAGCCCAGTGGGCCCAGGATGCCCAGCGTGGTGGTGTTGCAGATCAGTCGGACCCGCCGCGGGTCCGGGTAGTCGAGGACGGCGTCGGGCGGCTCCACCACGACCAGCACGGTGATGATGACAACCTGGACGCCGATGACCAGGAAGGTCATGACCACCTGCGCCGTGCTGCCTAGGAACCGGGGCTTCCGGGTGATGATCTTCTTCTTGGAGCCGGCCAGGATCCGCGCCATCCGGTTGGTCCGGACCACCAAGGCCGCGTAACAGATGCAGAAACTCAGGCCCAGGCCGATCCGGCGGATGTAGCACACGATCGTCGTCGGGACAGCAATGAAGATGAACGTCATGAGGAAACACATCAGGATGCCGACCAGGAGGATGTAGCTATTCTCCCGGCTGGAGGATTTGACGACGGGCGTATCGTTGTAGCGGATGAACGTGACGAGGACGAAGAGAGTGCAGCAAATGCCGAGGCAGGAGAAGGTGACAGCCATGATGGCTTCGATATCACCCCAACGCATAACTTCCGCCTCGATCTCCGTACAATCTGCACAAACCACAATCGGAAATGACTGTATATTAACTACATACATATTTACATTGTTGAAGCAATGAAGACTTAAATTGTATGTAACCCTTAGATGGTTTGCATGGCTGCCATCTTGCATGTCAATGTTATTGTTCCACTGGGTATGCACAAAGGAGGTTTCCCCGTGAAACAAAGAACTGCACTGCAAGATGGCTACCATGCAAATCCTCCAAAGTGAGGTGATTATTATTACACAAATTCCCATGCCTAGCTTAATTAAGGAGCCCGTTCATAGAGCCGGTCTTGTCTGAATTACCTGGTGACGGCTTAAAATAGCACTGTTGTCCTTATTGGAGTCACAGGTTAGCTAAAAATGCCACCCAATGGTAGACTTACCGGTGGTTTTTCACAGTATTGTGCATGCTCAGAACTATGCACGCATTCTCAGAACAACACGCTTATGCTCGGAACTGCTAAAAAAAGACCAGTCTGCTTGCTGCCACCAAGCGTCTCAAAGTTTCTCATTGTCTTGTTCAGGAGCCCTCATAGGTTGAACCATTATGGTCGCATAACTTACTACTCAAGTCTTCATTGGGCCACCATCCTTTCTCGCACTCCAAGCAGGTGAACTCGTCAACCATTATCTCGTTAGCTTTGCAAGGGAGACAGGCCCAACAGCACTGGACGTTATTTCGGATATCCTGTGAGTGAAAGCAATTATTTGAGGTCGTGAATCTTGCTTATATTCATAAAGACCTGGAGGAGTTTGACCGTTTTGACCATCGAGATCCTACACGTACTGCGCCACATCACACAGTGCGCGACGCGCACACGCCAATCTCCATATAGGGAGTCGCTCAGCACCACGTGGGGGGCTGTACCACTGGCATGACCAGGAGGAGTGTATCACAAAATATGGAGTATATTAAGATGATGAAAGACATTGTTGGATGCTTGTCAATTAAACTGTTTTGACTTTTTGACTGATACTTAAAACTGGCTATTGGTCCGGTCGCCAATGATAGCTTTCGCCATTGGCTGAAACGATTATCAGTGACTGTCACTTTCAAACCAGCTTGCTTGAAATCGTTCCAGGACACTTGTTACAATTATAACACGCACGGTTGTCAAACCGCGTGAACAACCTACAGAGCCGCGCCCGGCTTTAGAATCTAGTTATTTACAGGGGTAAGGATACTGTTTGACGCAATTTGCTGTATTTGGTTTCGAATTCACGGAATTTACTGATAGGGATTATCAGAATGACGTTCACCTTGATGTGTCCTTTCTCGCAAGGCTCGGTGCAGAACGACGTCACCGGATTAGCCGAACCGTTGTTCCACATTATGGCTGAGTCATTCATGTCCAACACGTTGGCCGACCAGACGCCGATGGGCACATATCTGTACTTGCCACTCGGTAGGCGTTGGAAGTTGAAGATATCGTATCTAAAAAGATAGGAGGTAAAGGTTTTTTTTATCACTTTTGAGTTCAAACAGCCTCTCCCTATTCTGTAATCATAATTGGGGGCTGAGTTCGGGCGGCTTGTTTTCGATGTTCACGCACAGCTCGATTTGTTGGTTGTTGGTCGGCCGCTCGAACGCCGGGAAAGTACGACCGCTTTAATATCCGCTGGTACTAGTGGCATGCAACATGGCGACGTCCATGTACGTTCTTGGACGGTTAATGTTTGGATAACTGGGTTGGATTCTGTTTCTTATTTAAAAGGAGCATTCATTTCTGTGTTAAGGAAAATTATCAGTATTAAGTTTTTCTAAATTTCCCCATTGTCTTCGGCTTTATAAGCCATCTCGCTACTTTTTGCAGCTGTTCAAAAATCAAAATCTCACGAGTTTTTCCGTGTGTTCCTGTAAACCCTGATGAGGAGGTGGTGTCTGATCCTGTTCCGAGAACAGTGTTCTAGGGTCGAGTTCCCGTCGTTCGAGCGCGAGAACAAGAAACTCGTGTCAAGAACACGCTGCCCAAACTCGACCAAGGAGAGAACGAGGAAGACAACATTCCCTGACCTCCTTCACGCTCAAGTTTCCGCGGTGCCAGAAATGAGCCCCGAGCAGGACCAAGAGAGGGCGCAATTCTCCTAGCAACGGAGGCTCCTGGTCGGGACTGCACTTCTCTGGTTCACGAACCACTATCAAATGCACGCGTCACTGTTGCATCGCTACGAACAAAGTTAACACTCCCGACCAACATGGCTCTTTTCAACCGATGAGGGGGTGCTTCTGGTCAAAAAGGATAACTGGAGACCCTTGAGAAACTTGAGGAGCAAACATAACGGTCCCAGGTGGACACTTAGGTTTGCCACCACCACGAAGTATTGTGTGTAGTCCAGTCCATCACAAGTCTCAAGCTATTCAAATGAACAGTGGCACAAGCATTCCTTTGTCATTGTTCATCCTAGCTACTTATGACAGGTCATGCGACCAGACTTGTGATGGACTCAACCACAAAATCACCATCAACACCAAGCGTTTCAAATTCCAACATCATATGCCCAAGAAGAAAGTGCATGTGAGGTCATTCGGGCACAGCAATAATGCGCATTGGAGGTCTATCCTATCAGCGTTCCCACACGCCAACTCGCACTTGTGCCTCCCTCTTGAATGACCAAGCCTTTTCAAAATGCGGAGCTGGCTCTCTGTTCCTTTGCTTTAGCATAGCCAGCCAGCCAGCTTGCAAATCACTGGTAGGCAAAGGCTACGACTGTGGTGCGCTATATACCTGCCAGAAGGATCGCCGTTCTTGTCAAACTCGATGGTGTCCCCCGACGACCCGCGGAAGGAGACGTTGAAGAGGTACCGGAGAAGGACCGTGCCGTCCACGGGCTTCATCTCGGGACACAGGCCGACCGTGTTCTCCGGGCAGAGGGCCCGGTGCATATCATGCAGGCCGTGGGCCATGGTGTAGATGGCGTTGATGATAAAGCCCATCTTGGTGTCCTGGCTGTAATGCTCGGCAAGGGACTCGTTGCCTGCGGATAAAAATAAATCCGGCGAAGTCGATGTGACCTTTAATACTTGGAAATTCCTGGTATTAAAGTAACTGTCGGAGAATTTTTGCGTACAAAAATAGTGCAGGAAGCATTGTGAAACAGTGATTAAGCATGACGATTGTTGGAAACGAGACAGAAATGGGTGCGCTGGCCAGGGTTTGAACTCAAGCAAAATAAGAAAACTATTCATTTAGTAGTGTTTTCTGTTGGTTGTCAACGGCTTCATCCTGCACTGGTCATAATTATATATTAGTTAATTATAACTAACTAACATACCATGCATATCTAACTACGCCATCCTAGCCATGAGCCCTGACAAAATCGTTCTCCTGTCACAAAAGTCTAAATTTGGGCCCTAAAGATTTCGCAGATGCAGTTAGTTTACACAGCATAGATTTATTTAAAAATGCCAATGCGTTAAGAAGGATCTAATTCTTGTTTAACAAACTTAGAGAGCAATCCAGTATACCATGGACAGAGTTAATGTGCATTATTTTGCAAGTACCCAAGGTTCGATATGTTGTAATACCATAGAGCTATGTCCATTTAACTTCTTGCGCAACGCCAAATACCGAACGTTAAATATGGAATCAAATGGCTGCGGCTGTGACAAGTGTATATGGGAAATGGCTATTGCAGCGAGCCAATGGCTCCCGTAGGCCCACGTAGTGCTGTAAGCCGTAGCCATATCGACAAGACGAGGCCTTGTTTTTACCTGTACAGTTCTTCGAGTACCGTTCGCCCCCGGTTTCGGCCGGCTCGCTGCCGTTGTTCTCCGGGGGCAGCTGACATTTGAACCGCACCTGCCAAAACTCCCGGAACCAGGGGTTAGACGAGTGATCACCTGGTCGCAGGGCGAAGTAGTACGGATCGAAGTCGTGGATGTAGGAGGTCTGGGGCTTGATGGATATGCCGCCGACTGCTTCCGGCTCCACGCCGTTCACGATCTCGGTGCGGTCGGCCCAACCATCACTGCCGAGAGGAATACGTGTGAATTCAGTTAGTTAGTGATTGCGTCATACGGCTCAAGCTGTACAGAGCCTAGTGGCCGATACGCCGAATTTCTTCCGTTTTGCATTGCCACGCCGTGCTACAATATTGCCGGTAGTATATTATCGCATTATGTGATGAAATGCCACGCTAATAAGAGAGGCTCAAGACGATAACTCGTCTAAGTGAACGTTTTTACCCTTGAATAAAACAAAATTGAAGGCTACAAATTTGGGCAATAATTAAAGATCTTCGAAATTGATCTTTTCAAACAAAAGAGAGACTAAAATAGAAAAAAAACCGCAACCTCCAGGATTCGAACCATTGACATCTTAATTATTATTTCCTTTACCCATACACTATGCAAACCAGCTCGAACAAAGTCCCTTTTTCCTTCGTGTGCAGGACCCCCACTTAATGATGCTGAAGCTCATACCTAACCCAGGTGCCTATCATAATACATTACCAGCAAGCTCTGAACTATGGCATTTTGCCTTAAAAACCTTGCTTATTAAACAGCGTTGAGTAGTTGGCTTAGATGTATCGTGACTCTTTTCATAGGGTCTTTCTTTTGATCATTCCTTTTTTTGTGTTTGGCTCCGTCTGAAAAGTTCAGAAATATTTCGTGGTAAATTGAATGTGAAAGGCGTAATTGGGTTTTAATTAAGGATGCTTGGGATCAACATCATCCTCTGGAGCAGGATTTACCGTATTCAGTCACAGTTTCAGGTAATGGAAAGGGTGTAACTGCGCATCTACAGGGGTATGGTGATTTGAACCCGCCAACAATGGAAAATTCGAAGAACTTAAGGGAGTACTGTTCATTACATTTACGGTAATTATTCCTTTACATGCACATTTGCTGGCATACACGCCTCCATTTTAGCTGTGATGTTGAACGTAATTGGGGGATCAGTAGATTGAGTGAGCCCTGCAAGTTTGCTGGCCGTGCTGCTGGTTTGCCCAAGTGGTTGCCCCATGACTGGACAATCAAACCAACGACCCACAGACGGGCCGAGTGGTGTGGACGCACCGACAGCATAACACTAAGCATCCCTTGGGGTCCATATTAAAGAAGGTGCGAGCTATGAAACTAAGCTGACGGAAATTGGTATAGAAATGGCGTTGCCGACGATAGTCTGGCAAATCGCACACGTCTACGAGGCATCTGAGTTCGATCAAATTAAGATGCGAAGTACCTCGGTGGGATTTCGTCAACAAACAATGATTTAGTTGGGATATGATCCAGGCGCCAAGTGAATCGATGGTGACATTGAAAAAACTCTCACTTTACCCATGCACTCCGTTGTGTCCAATGTCAACATGCACTCTTTCGGCCGAGTATAATGGTGAACGTATACACCAGTCCCCCCCCCCGCTGCCTTCATTACTGCCTCACAATAGCGCCATTTACGCCCAGCGGTTCGGGCTACAATCGTCCCGCTATCGGATTCCCCATCGTGCAAAGAGAGCGCTTGTCGTCTAGCATCCTCTCTTCCTCGGATGTCGCATTATGAGGAGGACGGGTTTTCCCTAATGAAACCCGGCGGGACTTAACGTATATGCAAGCTCTGCCTCACAGCAGCCAGGGCCGAATTGCGTCGTTTTAGTGTCCACTTGCGAAATCAGTTTCACTCAGGGTAATACCGACGGAGATTGTGCCGAACAAAGCTGCGCGGTGTTTGGCAAAGGGTCGGCCCGATTGAATTTCCCCATTTCAATCGATTCGATCGTTGTTATTCTGCCTATTCCCTAATGAACTTTCAACGTAAGATATCCGGTAAGTTATTCCTGGATCGTCATTTTCCACAAAGTAATTTCATCAAAAGTGGTTGTGCTGAATTAGTTCGAGGGGTATCGATTTCGCAGTCAGGCAAGCATGAACAAATCTAGCTGATCGAGTTTATAATCAAACTGAAAACAAAGTGCAATTGGTATTTTCCTCGAGGATGTACCAAATATCCCTTTCCCCCACAACTCCTAATCTTTCCACATAGCATATGTTCCAAATATCTGCGTAAGGAGGTGTATTGGGTGGGAGTTGCGAATGAAATCTTGAATTATTAGGAACATGCGTTGAACCAACACCACTACACAATTTCACTTGGCAAAGAGGTTCGGGCTTTCTATTTCCAAGTTGGGGCCCGCAAGTCGAAACACTTGCTTCACACGTACGCAGATGCTCTTCGGAAAAATCAGTGCTTTCAAAGGTTACGCTGCCTCCGCGCAACCAAAGGCGACCAGAAAAGGTAATTGGAACAAGTAGTGTAAGTCCGAGGGAAGACAAACAGGTAATGAGGCAAAGGTGTTTGACGGGGCTGCTAATACATAATTTATAACAGAGGTACACCGAAGAGGTCTGTCACCACTGGCAGATTCCATCAAAGACTTTCATGTGCCGACTGCCGACGACCTCACACTCAGGCGAGGTGCGGGCGCATAGTTCTCATTGCTGTCACAGAGGGGCTTTTTTGGCGCGCATTTCATCTGGGTCAGCTGATGGCATGACACGCCATTCAGCGGAGGTGGCATTGTAATTCGAGCAAGACCCGGGAAAGAATGATTGATAAACAAAAGAACGGGACAAATTGGAATATGTAAATGCACATCGCAGGGCAAAACATCAACTTGACTTTAAAGTTTGGTCCTGTGAGCCCCGAGCTGGACGAAGAGAGGGCGCATTTTTATTAGCAACGGAAGCTCCTTTGGTAGGAACTGAACTTCGCTGGTTCACGAACGACCATGAAAAGCACGCGTTACGGTCGCATCGCTATTAACAAAATGAACATTTCCAATCAACATGGGTCTTTTCAACCGACAGGGAAGTGCTCGAGCCTCTCGAGGTGGATGTAGCGAGGAGACACTGGACAGCGGCGCAGGTTTAAGTCGTTACATTTATTTTTCTGTCAAGGACGTATCACCTGGGAAGTGAAACTGATTCTGCAAAAGCGATTAGACGCAGTAATCAGACGAACTAGGTACAAATGTTTGCTCATGTATATCAGACTCCAAAATCACTAATTGTGTCTGTAGTGTGCACGATCGCACAGAGCGGTTGAGTGGAGAACTGAGGGAGATTCCTGATCGTGCTCTCTCTGTCCATCAGCAGGGGAGCCGCCCAGGCAGCCTGGGACTGTGCATTCCCGTCAGTCCAGTCTCATTAACCACCGCTGAGCGGCCGTGATGAGAAGCGCCTGGCGTGCGCAATCCGATCAGCGGACCCGATCGTGAACCGGAACTGATGGCATGTGCATGTACACATATCGGGCTTGCTGTGTGTGCAATGACCGAGCATCACACGCGGACGACGGCGGAGAGAGAGAGAGAGAGAGGGAGGATGCATGCCAGAAGTGCGTAATTCCTTGGCAATGAGGGAGCGAGATCAAGTAACCGAGACACGGTTGGAATCAGATAAAGAAATGACTACCAGTTGTTGGGCATTTGCAGTCCACAGCTCCCGTTGTAGTAACCTTAAAGGTGCACTTCCAGTAAACTAGTAACATGCACTTTTTCATGCTCATTAATTAGAGTGGCAGTAGAATAAAATTTCGAGATAACAGGATTTGGTGGAGTCAATTAATATCCTATATCACTGATGTAGATAGAACGTCCCCTGATCTTGTCCTATGCCAAGACAAAATGGTCTATAGGAACACTGAGGGCAGTGCCTTCGATGAAGAACGCAGTCCCGATACACCGACAAATTTACCGAATCAATACCAGCAAATATGCGGCCTACGCATGTCCGGTTGAGCTTCGCGACTGCCCCCTCTAAAGCAGACCCTCTTCTCGACGACCGCCGTACTTTCACCTTATACTGCCAAGGTCCTAATGCCGGGCAAGCGTCAACATACGTCATCAACCCCAATGTCGAGGATCTCGGCCAACGAAGTCTCCCGGACCTCGCGGCAGATATGTGTTATCAGGCGACATCATCTGCAAGTCCATGTTTGTATCGAGGAACCATAGACGTGTGGGCCGTGTGGCCTGTTTTCCACCACCATATAAAAAGTAGGCCTACCAATTAGTTATCTGTGAGGTACCCCTGACGTAAACAGGTTCCTCTAGTCGTTAATTCCTTGTTATGTTGACGTGATATCTACATGCTGGTGGCTTTGTTTTTCGCCCCACATTTGGCTTTCGCGCTGAAATCCAAGCGAGTTCACGCCTGGGTCAGTTTGAAACGAGAGCGTGTGTTTGTTATCCGTCAACTTTACTGCAATCAGACTTCATTTTGATGACACTCGACAAACCAGTGGGAAAAATACTGGTGCACGATTTCTTCCAGCATAAACTCCGCATAAAAACAAGGCTTGGTTCAGGCGGGTTATACCTCTCTCTCATTCCAGTGGAAGTATATTAGCCTTTGAAAATTATTGGAAAATAAGAGACAGCAAACAGGCAGGATTTATCCAACGCATGTTAAGAGAACGGCTTCTTAAGGTTTATGTCCTTTCGCACGTTGTACACGCCCCTGTTTTTAACAATATCACAGAGGGCAAGGTACTGCTTTACCCACCGTTCCTATAATAAAAGACTTTCTGTAGAATTACCACAGGAACCTACTGTGGCGGATGAATTTTAACAAAGAACTGACCACAGAGAACAGAAAAAAAAACACGAGAAAAACAAAATAAATAATCAAAGACAAAATTTAACAAAAACCAAAACAGCCCCTTTTGTACTCTTTCTCTGTCCTCAATGGTAAAGAAGAACATGTACATTTTTCACATTTCACATTTCAGTTTCGGTGAGGTCTAACCCTTTGAACAGAGCTGCGATTGCGTCTGACTTTGATTGAGTGCCGGGAATGATATCACGTCCTAATTCCAATGGCCCACAAATAAGCACTTTAATTCCCAAATCAAAACCCGGCAATAAAGACTAATTTTATCGTTTGGTAAACGCTTCCGTTATCACGCAGGGAATAAATCGTTGGGGGGGGGAGGTAAGAGTGAAGACCGCAAAATGACAGAGCCGTGGGCGACAATCGCAGTCGTACGTGCCTACAGACGTCAAATAGCCGAGGGACACAGAATGATACCTCGTCTGCTTAGGTTTCAAGACCGGGAATCCTGTCTCGTTTCCGTTCCGCATCTTATCCAGCTGTCACGGTGCAAGGATATTTTCTTGCTCGTGGAGACGAGGAAGTTTAAAAAGGCATTCACCCAAAAAAGTTGGTTCATCCCTAACAAATGCCTTGGTAATTAAAGAACAAATGAGAGTTCATACCTATTTAAAGTAATTCCGTTTTTGATCGTAAATGTAAGTTTAACCCCTTACAAATTTTGGTGAAGTAATTTACATGCATTTACGAGGCAAACTATGAAATGAAAATAATAACGTATCAATAGACGGTCCAAGGTTGTCTCCCATTCATTTCTTTTTAGGAATTTTTCGGTAAGGAAACATCATGCAATCAGCAAATACTTCGATAAAATCAAGGATTTAACTCCGAGAGGATGCAGCTTGCTAACCTGTCCTTTTATGGCAAGTCAAAATGGGAAATTATTGGTGCGATTCCTTAATTACCTCTTTAAAACATGACTTTATTTCTTTTGACTTGCGGCGGTCACCGAACAAGACACGTGCAGCTATTTCGAAAACGCCGGGTCCATAAGTATGGCGAGCAACATAATCCAGTCGCGCCTTTAAGCATAACAGAGAGCCAGGGGGATTTTCACTTTCCACAGGAGTTCCCTTTGGGTAAATATAAACATCGAGGGCGATCTGGATTGTCTTGCTGTTATTAGAGGAAATGACGGTGCCAAGATGAACCCCATCCTCGCTGGAAGGTAACTTTGTTTCCTTACAAAACACATCTCTCAAGAGCAGATCCCGAACCTCTCCCACCGAAATTTGAAGAGAAAGGCATACCTTCTTGCGTGAGCATTCGCCTTTAAGAGAATGAATGGAAAGGGTGTCAGCATCGTAATGTACAGTGAGTTGTTTTAACGATTAGAAGGATCGAGATCGCGCCAACGTTGATGGGGGGACCTTTCGAATCTTCTTCACTCTCTTTTCCTCCCTGCGTGCAAGTTGTCAATACAGAAGCTAAAGGAGGTAGGTGAGTTTGTGGATACCTATTGACGCCATCTCCGAATCTGTGTCCCAGTACTGCGCACCCCCGGCCCAGGGGCTACCCTGATCCTGGCTGAATACTGGCACAGCTCTCCTCGCTCAGCTAACATCCTCATCTACCCCCTCCCCCACCCCCCCCCCGCACACAGCAGGAGAGGCTCGCCGATGTAACCCTCCCCCCGGGGGTAAGTGTCACAATTACTCCCCATGTTTTCCCACCGAGGGAACTCTCCCCCGACCCTCCGGGCGTGCGACCGCGGTGCGGGCCCCTGTTTTTCTTTCGGGAAAACACGGGTCAGGTTCGTGCGAAGCATACGAGGCCGCAGTGCACAAAAAAAGTGGAGAAAAGAATAGATCTAATATATGGACCAATTTCCTTTCCAATCTCCTTGATCCGGTACACAGGCTCTTCTTTTCAAATCTTTTTATTTTTCTCTTTCGGATTGAGGTCAACCTTATCTCCGGGAAATCTTATTTTTTTCTCATGATTTGATCACATAGCGCATGGCGGTAGAAACAGCTTCACAAAAAGTAAGCTAATTTGAAGGAGGGCGACACATTGCCCACTTATCAAATTATATCGAACACGGCGAACATTTTGCTACTGTGCGAGTCACTGTAACATTTCGGCGGAAGCCAGTTGCCCTATGGAGAGCAAGGACTTAAGGACATATGATGCAGCGGATCGTTGCTGATTGCATCAGATTTATAAACACGGACATCAGCTGGCGTGGCTGAAGACCTCCAACAAAGAAAACAACGGTGGCTGAGAAAGTTCCCTACAGAATGGAACTAAAACGCGATAAATACCAACAGCTTCGAGCGGGCCGATTTATGAATATTGTATTCAAATGATTTTTTCGCTTGTCCACAACGCCTCATTGGGAATCACTTCCCAAAACGGAAAAGTTAATTAAACCTCCCTGAAGTGAACTGCGTTCTCTGTACAGACTGTCTTTATTAAAGGGTGATGGCTAGCTTTTCAACAAGGGATAATATACAGCAAGGCGCTGTGTCCGTGACTGGCAAAAGTAAACTGGCGACGCAGGTGACGCAAAATTCGACTCCCTAACACATCGCTGCCACGAGGCAGTGGAAGAATACTTGGGGTTGCATTCCCAGTCGCGGTCAGAGACTATCTGATAACCATGGTCGACTTTGCCTTGCACCCATGTGTGTTTTATACACTGTGTGCCAGGCAATCGACCATGGTCCCCGATCGAACTTCGCCCCTGTGCCAGAATAATTTTTAACGAAACCCATCGGTCAACGTTTGCATTAAGTAATTACGTAACATTTACTCCCCGTTTCAAAAGAAAAGTTTCTCAAAAGTTTGCAAACTTACGTACTCCAAATGTTTGAGCAAATTTCGTGCATATAATGAAGTTGATGGTATAGTTCCCCTCGGATACTTCGACAACCCCTGCCCCTCTCTTCCCGGGCCGCCGGTTTGTATTCCACATATCGCACACCTATTATGGCCTACCTGCCGATGAAGAGAAACCTCCCAGACAAGCCAAGTCGCCGTGTGGCGCTCATCAAATTGTGGATGGTCTTGCCCTCGCAGAAGCAGACCACCACTTGTGCGGTGGGAGTGCTGAGGAGGTTCTGGATCACCTTGTCGAACTTGTCCGGCGAGGAGTTGCTGTTGATGCTGCCGTAGGTGGCGATGCAGATACCGGCCTTAGTGGCCAGGTCTCTGAACACCTCCATGCCGCTGGCCCCGTAGTTCCCTGGATTTATATTGTTAAAGAGCAGAGAGGTAAATACATTTTGTGAAAAATTGCCCCGTGGAGGCTTTGCGTAGTAGCCATCATGCAGGGCAGTTCGTTTGTTCCACGGGGAAACCTCCTTTGTGCATACCTGTGGAACAAAAGCACTGGCCTACAAGATGGCAGCCATGCAAACCAGTCTGGTAAACTTTCTGGAGTTGTAACGTCGGCTGGGGTAAACAGCTATGTGCAAGTTTGAGAGACGACAATCCGGGGTCAATATTGACTGGCACCGAGGATATATTGTCTACACGGCTTAACAGGAAAAATCGATTAATCATCGACAAGTAGTCATCGCTTAAACTTGTGTCAGCATTGCACTCTTCAACAAATAATAGCAGTTCACATTGAGAAAATAGGGCAGGGAATGGACCAGGAATTTTTAAAAAGTCTTTGGATCATTAGCACCCATTAAGATAGACAGGGTCCAAGCGCCTTGATTGCGGCTGGCATTAACACATGCGTCTACAGGAGGTTGCAGCTGCTAAGAGCCCCGAGCTGGATCAAGAGAGGGCGCGAGCAACTGAGCAACTTTCCTAGCAACTGAGGCTGCATCCGAATCTTTTGTCTAGAGCTAGGTCTAGGTCTTCGCTCCATTGGAAATGTGCGGAGACGCGTAGACGATAGACCTAGCCGTAGCTCTGGAAGCCCGTTTCGGACACGGCCTGAGACTCCTTTGGCGAGAACTTCACTTCGCTGGTTCACCAGTGACTATGAAATGCACGCGTTACGTTCGTATCTCTACCAATCATACAAGCATTCCCAATACAACAACATGGCTCTTTTCAACCGATGAGGGGGTGCTTCTGCTCACGGCAGATAGCCTTTGGCTCCCGTAGGCCTTCGGGTTATTTTGGACCATAGCCAGAAAGCTAGGACCTAGCTTCATATGGAATTGGCTTTTATGTCAATTCATGCGGATCACTATCCACGACTGAAGGAATCACGATTATTGCAGCTGCGCAGTATATTTAATCATTACCCCATTGGTGGATACTGATCCCTAAGAATTTAAGATACAGGGAATCAGAATCGTAGTCATGGTGACGGCGTATTCCTGATTCCAGAAATAATATAATATGATCTGCACGTGCCATTACTTTTTCTTGGCAGCATTTTCCAGTGGTTAAAACCAGAAGTACCGATGGTATTTTAATACATCAGACATGCAATGCCTATAATTCTGGTTGAAAGGCTGATGACAGTTGAAGCCACCTTGCAATCTGCAACGACGATCAAGGCGGTCTTCGCGACAGGGACACGCACACTGAGACCGTTACTTTCTGCGCAGGTTGCTCGATGCAGTAATTGTGTAGGAAAGAAAAGTAATTGGTTTCGTTCAAGGTTTACTAATGCAGTATGGCGGTGCACTGGAAAGCTGGCCTGGTTTGACACGGTGCACGGTTTGAACAGTTGGAAATGAAAGAGGTATAAACGATGCCAAGTGTGCGATGAGGCAAGGTGGGATAAGTAATGGCGAACATTAAAATTACTTTGGCGTTTTGTAACCAGCTCAGTATACAGCTAGGACGGTATAAGTTGTCACAAAGGTTATCAGAAATTAATTTCGTCTCAGGTTTGCTAGAGCAAAATACTAGAATAAAAGTGCTTGCAGTCAAAATGGTGGCACGCGGGCGATTCACAAAAGTGCGCCTCCAAGAGTTTGCCACGCGTTGGCCAATCACAACGCGCGAAATCTGTCGACCCTTTCCAAAGGCGGACTACTGTGAAACTTCCGTATTTACATTGTTCATATATTTGAATATCGGTATCATCAGACCGATTTTGGAATGGCGGGTCACGTTTCGTTCAGAGTCATGCCAAGTACGCGAATGCTTCGAGGGTCATCGCTCCCCCCCCCGAGTGGACGATTATCAAAATTAATTTTCCTTCACTCGGAACAAAATCCCCCTTTCCACCCCCGTGTCTCTACCACGTGCTCAAGGTGACGAGCCCTGCTGAGCGCGCTGGGCCGGCTCCCCGCTTGACCGAATTCCGGTGGTTCGGCTTGGACGAGAGAGAGTGTTCCCGGTCGCGTGCCCGTGTTTTCATTGGGTAAATTGAATTCAGGTCGGCAGCACCTGTCCGACAAAAGTAGACCACGGCGGGAGAATTAGTTTGGTGTGGATGTTTCCTTCAGAAAAAAAAGGGAGAAATGTGTAGTATCCCGTTTGCCGAAGTTTACACGCCACTTACACGTCAGTCTCTGCAGCGAATGCAAACACGGGAAAACATCAACCCAAACAGAAAGAAGCTCTTGGTAAGCAGCAAAACATACGTTCTCGGCTCATGCAGGTCACAGTGTGCGAGACTGAATGATTTTCAAACACAGACTGTGACCTCATTTTGCGTTAAAGACATCCTTCAACTCACCACTGAAAGAGCCAGTTTGTCGTTAAACTTTCATAACAGTCGGGGGCAGACGGTGTCTATATAAATTCACATTTCTTGCGAATTTTGTAAAAAAAAATACTGTGAAAGCCTGTGCAAAACATTGGCCCAAAACTCCTTTTTGGATCGAGACTGTACAGGTGGTGGCGAAATCCGCACGAGGATAAAAAAATGTGCAGGAATTGATCTTAATGACAGGTTCTGCTCTTCCATCCACCGACATATATTCATAACACTGCCTCTCCCCGACGCAAAGTACTGTACATCTTAAATGGTTTGCATCGATTGATTCTCTCCAACTCCTTTGTGGCTGGAGTTAAATATTTGTTGTCCTTATTTCACTTGTCGGTTTTCAGGTCAGACGCATCTCGGATAGACGGCGAATTAACATAATGCTGCTCATTTTATACAATGTCAACAAAGCCGGCCTAACGGTGGTTCTATGACCGTGACGCCCCGAGCTAATTGCCCCGGTCATCCGGAGCACTTTCCCCCCGAGGGATTCAGAGCGGAACAGATGGCCGCCCAAAAAAAGCCCAACGCACTAAGGACTTATGATCTGAGAAAATTATGGTTCCAATCGTCAAACATCAAAATATCAGCAAACAGTGTATGGGAAAAATTAGTTATAAGAGAAAGCGCCACATTGAGCCGGAGCAAAGTGGCTTGGTCACGCAGAACTGTCAATCGTAAAGAAAAGGCACAACTAGACTATATTTTGTGCGTGTGAAATATTTGGATGTTTTAATATAAAGGCTAATGAGGCTGCGGAACCCAATTTTAATGGGACGTATTCACTTTAGCACGTGCCAATGTTAATTACATTCAAATGCGGATTTAAAGATGTTACCGAACACAGACTTGCCAGAGCAGCCCCAGCTACTTGTTAAAAATTTAATAGAAACCAAACACTAAAGACACAAATAGCAAAAAGAATTCCTCAAAACCATACATAATTAGCCAGTGCGGGGCAGCGTGATGGACTGTCTTGTCTATGCATACTCGGTTAAGAGATTCCATCAAAGACGGTACAAAATACTTGGAAATTATTTTTGACGCATGCCCAATAATGGTATCGGAAGGCCTAGAGCCCCCTCTGGTGTCAGCTACTGTGTCAACTACTTTACCCTATCCCCGCGGGGCACCCTGAGTAGGGGCTGTGCGATGAGATAAATTACGCCACGTGGAAAGCAGAAAGTTAATGAGGGAGAAGTAAGTACAGAGATCGGCACGGTTCGTTTGTCGGAAGAAGGCCAATCGTGGTGCGAACATTTCTCTCTAGCACAGCCACGGCAAGTCGACAGGCACAACGAAGCGCAGAATTTCACGTGGGCGTAGTAAGCCTCTATTAGACCTATGAGGAAACACGAATTCCTTGTTTCCAACTACACTAGTAACGTACCTAGTGTGAAATGAAAAGAACAGATGCTGAGCCGATGAAAGACATATGAATTCGGCGAGTGTCGCAAGAAATCGCATCCTGGCACGCGAGATCGCAGGCAGAGGTTGAATGACATAGTGCAGATTTATATTAAGGAAATGTGAACCGGTGATCTTCATCTGTAACATTCCTGCCGGGTTTATAATGAATTTGCTTTCAAATTATACAAAAAAATCTCCTGACCTATAGGCATCATAAACAGATACCTTATCTTCGAATACGGAAGAAACTGTCGAAGGTCATTTTCGCTGTGCGCCTGGTGCCCACGGCCAGCGGGCTGTGGGTTCGTTCAAATTGGTCATGCGTACTCTGCGTCACATACGCATGAACCGTGCACTGTGGGTGATGCGGAGTGTCCGGTGTGCGCCATTTTGGTACGCCCTGACTGAGTGTCCAAAGTCGACTGGCTGCGGCTAGCAGTAACGCGCATCTATGGGAAGTAGCTACAGTCGCTTGCCTGGTGGCTTCATGTGCGCCTGTTGTTCTAAACTTCAACCACAACTTACCGCTGCACGCAGTCTTTCTTATCAGTGTTGAAGATAAATGCCAGAATTGTCTTTAATTAATAATTGACATTACGTTCCACGAAACAGAGAAGCCAGATTGCTAGCGAGACTCACAAAAACAAACAAACAAACAAACAAACAAACAAACAAACAAACAAACAAACAAACAAACACCCCAACAACCCCAACACCCCAACAAACAAACAAGTGGAGCAAAACGTACAACTGTAATTCATCACTTCGGTGCACAACATAAGTTTAAAATATTTTGCTTATGGTTATGGATGGATTGACAATAATTATGACATGTTCATCATTGATAACATCTCCTTCGAAACTTCGCACCGGGAAATGCAATGATTTTTTGGGGGGGACTGCTGGGAAATGTTAACTTCTTCAACATTTTGAACATTATCATTGAAATTTCTCAGCAATAACTACCACGCTCAGGTGTTCATTGCGAAGTTGAAGCCTTCAAACATGATGACGCCAATGATTCAAACTCTTATTTTAGGTGTTACTGAATCTTATTGAATTTGAGTGGTTTTCATTAGGCATAGGAGCATTCCAGCGTTTTAAACAATGTCGTATCTGACGCGCCACAAGTCCCGAAGCTTCCTGGA